ACTATCACGGTTACATGCAGGGTGTAAAACATATCGAATGAACCCCTACATGTGTGCTCCGAAATTTTATAGTTCAAGAGATATTTGCAAATTTGTGAAATTTCGAAAAAACGGGATAATGAACTTTCAATCGCAATTACAACTAAACCATTAGGTTTAAGGCTGTGATCTTTTTTGAGATGAGCTGAATGGTTAGTTCTAGCAAAGGTTATGTCACTTTTTAACAGATCTATCGGAGTAACGCAGCACGACGCGACCAGAATCAACCACTGCGAGAGTCCAAGCTATTTGCTGAAACCGTTCGCATTGCCAGCCGGGTCACCACAGTGGCCGCTACATGCCACCGATTCTGGTGCTATAGTAGATACAGTCTAGTCGCCTGTCAAGAACTTAGTAATAGATACAGTTCCAAACAACGAAGTCGAATAGATCACGACCCAAGCCTATATTTTTACTTTGCATTGTTTGTCACCAAAGTTGCGTAGTTTTAGTGCATTCTTTTGACTTATTTGTCTATCAATGCCTACCAAACTGACAGCGCTGTATCGAACTTGTGCTGTTCTTGGTAAGTTATGTAAGAAGTACTACCACGACTATCTGCAAACACTTGCACTTTAAGAAGATAAGCTAGGAATTTAATGACAGAACTGTCAAAAAGTTGATTTATGTCAAAATTTGTTGGTTCCAACATTCAGCTTGCTGGTCGATTCCGGTAATAGATGGCACCGTATTGCAATTTTTGTTGCTTGCGCGAAATTAGTTGTAAATAATTTTGACTACCACTTGGTTAAAGGGGCAGTTCAAACTCATTTTGTAAAGGGAAGGTTATAGACAACTCGTGTAAATGGGTTGCTACAAGACAGGGGCGGTTACCTTAATTACCCCACTTGAAAAGGGCCCTTCGAGTTATGCACAGATAAAATGTATGTTTTTAAAATAATGTCTAGCCGTACGATTTTTACCAGGAGCCGAAAAATACGGGTATATTTCGCTCTGCCACAGGGCCCGTTTAGCCGTAGGCGAGGCAGGTCCCTGCTACAGAATTAATTTATTTTTTCATTTTGAACGATCTCTAGTGACAGAAGGCAAAGGTGATTTAACATATTGAGCTTATTTTAAATATGGCGAAAAAATTATATAAAATTCGCTGATTTTTCTGAGATACCTCGTGCAAATAGATCTTATCCCATGTGCAGTTCAGTGAGATTAACAACTGCCATCAATTTCTGTTTGGTGAAGTTATCCTTTGCCTTACACTTAAAACTTCGAAAATGCTCAAATAGATTGTTCGCAGATTGTTCGGCGCCATGTCAGCTCTTCTTAGAAAAAAATTGACTACGAATGTGTATAACAAAGGAATCAAATGAGGCGAATCATTCAAATAAGCCTATAAGATTAGTACCCAGCTTCCACCAATTTATCAACGTTGCGATCTAATTACCTTTGCGATGACTAAACCATCCAGGTCGCGACAGGATTAACTTCCACCTTCGTTGCGCTCAGTCGGCGGAGAGCACAGAAACACTGTCAGCTTGGCGCGCGTATTGGAACGATTTCTATCATTCTATCTTAAGGAAAAATGTGAAAGTGAACATCTATGTGCAAGGTAGGTCTAACAGTTACAGAGGAAATTATAATTACCGGGATCAGAAGCGTATGGATATACTAACGCCAAACGTCACCACTCTCTGCGCCCCCAATTTTCACCCTTCAAAAAATATCCAAAGGACCAGCAGGCGTCAAAGTATAGGCGATTTTTGTTTTTTCGTTTTTTGTCCCTAGCTTTACCACCACTCCAGATATTTTCAAAAATTATAAAGATTTTTCGCCTTTGGCATAGTTACAACCTTGTGTGAACATTCTAGCGGTACTTTCCAAGATACAGACGGGAGAAGGATTAGCTGATAGACCCACACACAGGCAGACCAACGGGAATGAGTGACACAAGAATGGTAATGCATCCCATCAGACAACATGGTTTCTTAAAGGTGGAGCATTAGCCACATCCACGATATATTAACGGCATGTAGAATACGGATAAGTGTTAAAATGTCACCTAGTCGGTTATGATTTACCTTTTAACTACCCAGTCAAAAATAACCAGATTGTTTCAGCGCTTAAGAACTTGTACAGGGTCCATCAGAAAGAACGCATGTCTTGGTTACTACTACCCGTGTCGGTCGGGAGGGACGTGTTACATAGTAGGAGAAGTGCCGTTTCAGTTGGTAATATGGTTTGGAACGTTGAGCATCGTGTGTTCACTGTACGTCGGTACTTTCAAAATGGCGAGTCGGTTCGCTTTTGTGTTCCACGTCGTGGACAGTACCAGACCGTAACACCATTTTGAGATGGGTGGAAGCATTCAACACAACAGGTAATGTGATGAAGGAAAAACCGCCAGGGCGAAACTGTACTGTTAGAACCCCCGAAAACGTGGACAGAGTTGACACGTTATAAAGCCCGAATCGTTCCATCCGTTTGCGTGCCAGTTCCCTAGGTATCCACGATTCCTCTGTACGTTGCATCTTGAAGAAGGATTTAGTGTTCCATCCTTACAAAATCCAAGTTGGTCAACAACTGTTGCCAGGGGATTATTCAAAACGTGTTTATTATGGAATGTCAGATATAGTTCTAAGGTTCTTTGAGTCATACTTGCTAAATCGTCAACAAACAGTGAAAACTGATCAGGGAATTTCCTCCACTGAGCCAGTTCCTTCAGGAGTTCCACAGGGGTCAGTATTAGGTGCCTTACTATATCTGATTCATACGATCGATCTGCAAGGCTGTTTAGTCCACTGTTGTATTCAAACTTATGCAGATAATACTCAGTTAGTGTTTGGTTTCGATGCATCAAAGGTTGATGAAGTTTCTTTTAAAGTTAATTTAGATTTGGTTAACATCAGTGATTACGGTAACAAACACTGCTTGAAGATCAGTCCTAATAAAACTACTGCAATGTTGTACTGTTCGAAGAACTCCTACCGTGAAATGAAGCAGAGGATTTGGGTTGTTTTGGATGAGACACTCATCCATTTTGTGGATTACGCCAAGAATCTCGGTGTTACCCTTGACTTAAATATGAGATTCGATCGGTATGTCTCTTTCTTATCTAGAGTAAAGTATATGCGTTTGAAACTCCTCTATTCTAATCGATTCATCCTGAATTTTAAAACCCGAAAAAAGCTCGCCGCAAGTCTTGTGTTGTCTGTCATTTCTTACTCTCTTGTTCTTTATTACCCATGTTTAGACTACGTCCACAAAAGGAAACTCCAGAAAATTCAGAACAGCTGTTGTAGGTTTCTTTTTAGATTGCGCAAGTTTAGTCGCGTCTCAGATAAAATCAAAGAGCTCATCTGGTTGCGAATTGATAAGTTATTTTTATATCTTTTGACCGTCTTCACGCATAAAGTTCTATTATCTAACAGTCCAGCTTAGCTTGCTAGTATATTAGTTTCCCGTGGTAGTTTTGTTACCAGAGCTCTTAGATTTAATGCTAATTTTAACATGCCTCTTCACAATACCTCGGTCTTTGAAAGAGGTTACACCTATAATGCTGTCAAGCATTACAATGCAGTCAACAGTGGCTATCGATCCAAACAGGTTACTTCTTGTAAGAAATTAATGAAAAGTCAGCTGCTGGAGTCCATTTAGTTCAGTTTTTCTTGTGTTCATGTGCTTTTTTTGACTATTTTCTACTCTTTTTGTTTCAAATTTAAAACTCTCACAATACTATCTGCATTTCTATCGTGCAGTTAAATGTTGCCATGCTTATGAACTGTATTTTTTTGTATGTTATTATTTTGTTTATTTGTTTTCTGTTGTGGGGTTGAGTGTAAGAGTAGCCGTTTGGCTAAACTTCGCCTCACTGCAGCTAATAAAGGCATTATTATTATTGCTATTATTATTATTATTTGCACAGTTCATGATTGAGCAGAAGGATAACAGTGACATGACGTTGTTTATGAGTGATGAAGCACATTTTCATTTTCGTGGATACGTCAATAAACAAAATTGTCGATATTGGTCTCCAGTGAACCCCCAACAGTTGCATGAGCACCCCCGGAAAGTTAGTTTAGTGTGGAGTAGGCCCAACGATGATTACTGGCCTTATTTTTTGAGGATGATGGAGGAACAACTACTGTGAATTTAGAGGGTTACAACCACATGCTGAACAACGTTTTTTTTCGGAACTTCGACGTCGGCATGTCCGTCTCAGAACAGTGCCGTTCCAACAAGACGGGGCAACATCTCACACATCGATGGAACGTCTTCGGCAAACATTCCCAGGACGTCTCATTTCACGTCAGGGCGATATTCCATGGCCCCCTCGCTCCCCGGACCGGTCAACGTGTGTTTTTATGGGACTACCTGAAATCAAAATTTTACCAAAGCAAGCCTCGGAGCCTCGTGGATTTGAAGGAGGAAATAAAAAGAGAAGTAACCCAAATTCTTGCATGGATGCTGGCCGACGGGCTCATTTCGGGAGAGGCATGATTCCTGCATTTCGGCCGAAAGCTTTTAGAACTTAAATTTTGCTTTACTCAAAAAAATGGCATGAACTTATGAGTATTTTGATATAATAAAATATTTCTCCCATACTTTTTTAGACTGTACTATTCATTTAAAAAACATGCGTTCTTTCTGACAAACCCTGTATGAAGATACGCGATATAAAAGAGTCGCATTGAAAAAAAAGTAGTTGGACCATCTCACGAATTGTGTATAATTTTAGTTAAAATCATAAATTTCTATCTAAATCTAGGGCCCCTTGACGCAAAAAGTCAGGCTCTAAGTGGCCACGCCCTCCTAGCAGCCCTTTCGCATATGAGTTCTCTATAACCGCTCCTTTAACGAATGGTAATTGAAAGTTTGTTTGCAGAATACGGATAGTATAATGTCCGGCTCGTTCTGGTAACTGCAGTTATTTATCACCACGCAGTTTTAGAGTAGGCCTGGATGTCTTCTACGTTATTTTATTTTATCACGGTTAATTCTTTCAGATAGCAGAGAAGCAATCAAACAGCTCAACCACCAATGACCAAGGTGAGTTCAAACAAGGCAGCTATACTATTATTGGTTTCGGGAAACATGACAAATCAGTCCCATAATCATCTTTCCAGAATATATACTGAGTGATAGAAAAAGGTAAACACCTATGTATGTTTATGCGATTTTAATAATTGTTGGTATATATGTCCAGTGTCCCTTACTAATAAAATGGTTTAAGATGCGGCTCCACTACTTCCTGAATATAGCCTCGGGCTGTCATATTGCCTGTGATGAAAATTAGTGGTGATCTGCTACCATAAGCAATAGCAGCCCATACCATAACTCCCACGGTGTGGTGAATGTGACGCTCCCTGTCACGTCTCTCACCACGTTGCCTTCTCACTCTTGCCCGATCATCGTGCATCTCCAGACAGAAGCGGGATTCTTCACTAAAGACCACCTGATTCCATTCCCGGTCCCATTGAATTCTTCCTCTACACCAGAGCAAACGGTTACGAAAAAGCCACTGATTATTAAATCTTTCTTTCAGAGGCAGAAGCCTCAACCGGTCGCTCTGTGGTCCCTCTGGGACATCCAGAACCCCTCGCTCGCTGTCTTCGGACTAAACGTTTAACTGTGACCGTAAATGTACGAAAACTGAATGCTTCTTTATCACCAAACAGCATACGCAGCCACCACAAAAACTTAACAGAAAAACCTGACCATTTTATCACTTGTTGTTCATGGCAAGATAAATGTACTTATATGTAAAAAGTACTTGAATTCTAATAAACATACGTAGGCGCTTACCTTTTTTCTCTCGCTCAGTATTCAAGAAAAGCATGTTTCAATTCTTTGGACTAGAAATTTCCTGAAAACTGTCGATGTCACATACACAACCAAATAAATTCTCTAAAAAGCTATTATTATGGAAAGAAGATTGGATCCTTGCATTCTACCTATGGTTGACTTTTGAGACAGTTGAGTGATTAAGAAGCTTTATAAGTAATTATTACTTATATACCATCAAAGTCAAAATAGCCCAAAGAATTTTTGACAGTTAAGGCTTTCGCGTCCAGTTGATAAACTGCTGTCTTGTTTCGGGTCTAAAAGCCGTCGTCGGTTGGAATTTCTTCCTAACATTTCGCTAGTACGAGTGGTAATCTTCTTCAGAGGTTCTTCCATTTCCGATGCTGAATGTAGACTGACGATTTCTCTTGCGTAAATACAACCTGTATTTATACCGGAGGGTAGGTGACGTGGCTTGTTCCGTTTCGGTTGACTTCGGGATGTCGATCGACATTGCTCAGGCGTTTCTAAGGATCGAGTGCCAGATCGGGTTGAGTCTGAGGGTATCTCCTTTCTATTGAAGTTATCTGGATGTTTGTGAATGTCGATAGCTTTCCTGACCAGTCTATTGTGATAGCCGTTGACTGATGACAGTAACCTGCAGCTCCCAAAGAGTATCCTGTGGTCCCCATTACTTAGTGCATGTTCAGCTAACGCAGACTTCTCAGTTTGTCCTAGCCGGCAATTTGCTTTGTGTGTGTGATCAATGGGAACGAGACTCAAGGAGCACAAAGCAAATTGCCGGCTAGGACTAACTGAGAAGTCTGCGGTAGCTGAACATGCACTAAGCAATGGGGACCACAGGATACACTTTGGGAGCTGCAGGTTACTGTCATCAGTCAACGGCTATCACAATAGACTGGTCAGGAAAGCTATTGAGATTCACAAACATCCAGATAACTTCAACAGGAAGAAAGAGACCCTCAGACTCAACCCGATCCTCAGAAATGCCAGAGCAGTGCCGATCGACATCCCGAAGTCAACCGAAGCGAAACAAGCCACGTCACCTACCCTCCGGTATAAATACAACCTGCGCAAATCGTCAGTCTACATCCAGCATCGGAAATGGAAGGAACTGTGAAGAAGCCTGCCACTCGTGTCAGCGAAACTTTAGGAAGAAATTCCAACCAACGACGGCCTTTAGACCGGAATCAAGACAGCAGAATTTTTGACGCTTATTTAGGAATCACCCTATACAGGGAGTCCCACTCAACTGCGAAACGTCATAATGAAATTCTAATTATGCCACCTTATAGAGGAGAAAAACTGGCAATGTTATCATGCGATTCATTTTGAAACCCCATCTCAAACAGTCAGGAAAAAATAAAAGTGATTTTGGGATAAATCTGGTATGCAAAACAAATGACTATCCGATAATTTCAACACCTACCTAGGAATTTCTGCTTTTTTGAAATAACTAAGATTTGACAATGTCAGTGAGTGACGTATTATAGATTTTTGGAATCAGGATTAAAAAGTATATTTAACTGTGCATAAATCCAATATGGTGTCCCTAAGAAAAAATAAAGTCGAAGCTGAAGGAAAAGAGATGAAACGTCATATTGAACAAATAATGCCGTCTTGTAGATGAGAAAAAGTGGCAACGTTACTGTGCAAGTTATTTTGAAATCCCACTTCAAATAATGTCAGGAAAAAATTAAAATGATTTTTCGGTTTTTTCCGTCTCTCTCGGGAAGTAAATATGCAACCTTGCCTTACATTTGAGCGACTTCGTATCTCTCACAGTTTTCGAGATCCCAATGGTGAGGGTCGAATTTGAAACACCCTATAATCTCAGTTGTCCATGATACGGTGTCCAATAAATACCACGACAAACTTAAGGAGAAGGTAGGCTTTGGCTGGCCTCCCAAATAGCAAAAACTTACCTATAGAAAAGTGTCACCGTTTTTGAGATACCGAATTTTTTCTTAAATTTAAAAAACGTACCTTTGTGGTCTTTAGCTGCATGTACAAATAAGGTTAAACTTTGTTAATGTTTTCTATAAAATACTTCTAGGTAGTTCCTGTATCATATACAAATGAAGGTTACCGGGGAATAACGACAATAGTCCATCCGGACGGATTTTGAGAAAATCGGTAATTTAGGTTTACTTACTTGTTGGAAAGTAAAATTGATGAAAAAATAAGTCGTAAAGAATATCTTTGCTAAGCAGTGTGTTTATTGGTAAAATAGATTTTACAAAATGAGCTTTTACTCAAAACTAGTAACGTAACAAACAAAAGATGATGTTCAACTCTGAACTCGTGCCACTTTTCCGCTGCTAAGCGTCTATTGGCCGGTCATCGACATATTCATCACTGCTGTCTTCTGGATGATCAAGAGATATTAACTGTTGATAAAATGCCCTCGAATTTGCTCTCTCTAGAAATTTGGTCAGATTCTGCTGATCCTTCCATTTCTTACTTTTAATTATTGGGATTGGGCCTCGTAAAGTTTTCTCAATGTTTCCTCTTCTCGTCTTTGTTGATCTTTTTGCGTCTTTTTTAGATTCTTCCGAATTACCTTATCAAATTTAGAACTAGCATATAGGCCGTGTATGTCAATTTGTCTAAAAACTTGAGCATCCTGACTGGTCGGGTTGGAAAGGGGCACTTCGTTGAATAAAACGGCGATAAAAATGTACTCCAATCTTGAAGATCAAAATTTTTGCCACAGTCAATGACTTCAAATGGTGTAGGTTACACACGGCAATTTTTCAATTCATCTCTCCAGTCATCCGGTACCTCAGTGTATGCTCTTTGGTTCACGAAACTCATATCTCAATCACACTCGAGGTATGAATGTCCCCTGATCGGGAATACTACTTCGCAGTAGTAAAACGATTTTTCTTGGTAATCAAGTAATGCAAAAACCGGATAACTGTAAAGTTTTTATTTTGCCCTGCACAGGAGTCACAGAAAATGGCAAATTCTTTTACTTCCATAGGCAGGATGTTATGAAAAAAGTGATACAGCATAGAACAGACATCGTCAGCTCCTTTCTTAGCAACAGATTCACCGTAGATAGAATTTGAGCTTGACAGAATGTGGATGTTAAAACAGATGATAGTTGCCGCTTATAGCAAGCATCATTTGTCGTGATATTTGGACAGGGCAAGTTTTTTTGGTAATCCATCGTGATACTTTCGATAGCGGCGAACTTCGAGACCCGTTTGCGGTAAGTTCTCTTTAGACTCACTCCTTGTTTGATGTAGTGTCTGCTCAAGTGTCTTTTTCTCCAAATTATTACTTGCTGACTGCCTGCATTGTTCCGTGTGGGAATTTAAGGTAGCGATAAGCGAAGATATATTAGCTTTAAAGAAATCTTTCGTACTACAAGTATCTTTTCGTGGATAACCGAACGATATATTGAAGTTGTTTTCAAAGATTTCTCGAAAGGATTCATAGGAAATCTTGTTTTCAACTTTGCCAATAGAATACATTTTGTGTAATTTTGCGATATTTAGATTTTCAGGTAGGTAAACTTTTTGCGAATCTGCCAAAGAATAATGAGATTTGCGGTATTTGAGGCTCTTAATAAACTCGGTCACTTTCTGTTTTGTGTTTTCTGAAAGTGTGTGAAGTCGTGTGTTGTATTTTCCACGCATGTCGATGGGCAATTTCCCAGTTGCAACTAATGAGTCTCTTATGTACCGAATTCGACGAAGTGTAATTCCGTGTAAAGACAAAAAAGCCTTAAGACAAACTGGAACATCACGTATAATTCCATTTTCAATCAATCGGAGACGATAACTAAATGAAGCATTATTAAGGCCGTCTACGCATGTCCGAAAGAACAGTGATAAGACCACTAAGATAAGCGTTTTGTGCATTAGTGTTTCCTAGTTCATTAAATTCACGAAGAAGTCTACAGCGTTCAGATTCAGGAACAGTAGTAAAACAGCGGAAACGTTCACAATCAGATCCAAGTTCGTGGCGCGCAACGTTTTCATTACGTCTCTTTGTATTCCTGTTTCCATATGGACTGATGCCGTTTTTCCATGCACGCACAGGGACTCATGCCATTCTTGCCCGGCACAGGGAATCTTATAGCTGTTGGTTTGTGAACCTAGGCCCTTTTTACAATTTAAGAAGCTGATTACAAGATAGCATCAGGAAAATGCTACCAAAATAAACTGAAAGCTCAATTTAGTAAAATAATGGACTAATGCCGTTTTTCCCCGGTACCCTTCAAATGCAATGTAGTTAAAAGATATTAAGAAACCATAATAAAATAAGGACTGTTTTGGAATTTTTAGCCATCTGGTATTGTTTCCTCAACTTTCGTAAAATCATATCAAGAGCAGGTAATAATAATGTAGCTTTAAACTATCTCGCATGTCAGTGATCGGTAACCAGTGCAACTTAATTTAAATCCAATAATTACATTGTAGTGTGTGTCAGTCACTTACAAAAGCAGCTATCACTTTTTTCTATTAAAAAATGAACAAAGTATAACCTTACTTGTACATGCAGCTAAAGACCACAGATCAAGAGGTTCGTTTTTTGAAATTTAAGAAATTCAATATCTCAAAAACGGTGACACTTTTATATAGGTAAGTTTTTGTTATTTGGGAGGTCAGACCAAATCCTACTTCATCCTTAAGCTTGTCGTGGTACTTATTAGACACCCTGTATATGTTGATTAGTAGATATATTAGGTGGTAGCTGAATTCCTTAAGAAAATGTATGAGATACATTGTATAAAAGGTTTTCTTCTTGCAGGATCTGGTTGCAACAGCACACAATTCAAAGGTGTCTGCGTTGCAGAAAAGATCGCGGACTACTGCGAAGCGATCCTAACTACCGACGGACTGTGTGAGCCGGGCCTTAGGTGTTGTGTTAGTAGTAACTCGTTCGGAGACAAAGTGCCCCCAAATGTGATCTTCCCCAACAAAACGAAAACGAACTATACGAAGATCGAGACTCGAACCACCCCTCGACCTGTGGGTACGACCAATTTTAAGAAAGCTCCGCAACCTGCGATTCAACCAACGTTGAAACCGTTGAAACAGTGCAATGGTGAATGTGTTAGTGGCTTGTTCGCGTTGTTTTGTGATGATATTGACTCGGAAGCAGATTGTCCAAATGAAGGTAGTTGCTGCATCACCAATCCACCGGTAAGCATGTTCTTTCTTCCTTTCTTTTAACAACCAAGATCACAAAACTTAACCTGATGTTTATCTAACGAATAAGCTGCCCGACGTACCGAGGCTTGGCCCGAGATAGTTCTGCGCAACATGTTACGACTTCTTACATTGTGTCATAGACTCGGTGTTGCCTTTTGCAAGTAGACGTGCAAGGAATGGGTGCTCTGAAGGAATTTGCAAGTAATTAATACGATATTGATATTTTATGGATTCAAACACCGTGAGTCGATCAGTCGGCAGATATATGTACATCTATCTTTGCTTAGACTTAAGGCGGGTTTACACGCTACGTCTTATTGTACGTTTTGTGGGACAGGACAAATCCTATGCAATAAAACGTGGCCGTGTAAGCAGTAAAACGTACGTCTTGTCGGATCGAAATGAAATCCACGGTCAGATTGAAAAACTGATAGGAGAGAAACATCATTTTGCGAGAACTGAAGACGTCCGATCTTGGCTCCTCAGTTCACGAGTAGCTCCACTTCAGTTCGCTTCCTTTTTCCCCAAAAAAACTAACCTTGCGACAATGCACCCACGATTTTCTCGGGGAATTCATTGAAATGTATAAGTTTTCCGTGTTTGTGGCAAGTGAAAAATAATACACTATAGTGACCGTAAAAAAAGTCGCTCATGAGGATCATATAAAAAATACAAAGAAATAGACCCTATGGCAAATAAAGATACTGTAAAAAATAAACTCGTTGAGATCGGTTTACAGAAAATAATTGAAAAAAGTGTTCTGTTACTGTAACTCTAGCAACTGACAATAGGCTTTCCATTCGCAAATAATTAAGCCAGTCATCAAGTCCGCTCCTCAGTTGCTTCAATAACGAGACGTGGGAATACTAGCTTCTTTTCAGAAGCCATTCGCTTGACCATCCTGCCTTTTTCCTCTTCATCCCTTCCCTCTTAGTCGCTGTATCGTTATAGTTGAAAAAATAAAAGAAATCAGTTGTGTTTCCTCCATAATAAAAAATCTCTTTCAGAAAAATTCACCAAACTTAACACAACTCAAGAGTCTAGACCGGAACTGTAGTAGAAAGCGGAAGGTAAAACACGTAGTGTGTATACACTGGACAAAACGTGCGTTTTGTCGTCCGTTTTGTATTCCCGAAAAAACGTACAATAAGACGTAGCGTGTAAACCCGCCTTTAGACTACCGAACACTGAGCGCTGGAGGTTTACGTTTTAGATAAAGACAAATATACCGCACTGCTCGGTATTGAAATTCATAGCACAGGTTTACAAAAAAATCATTCAGCGATAGAATTGGACTTGCAGGGGATTCCAATACTTGTCATTACTCAACGAATAAAAACACTTTGAACTTTGCAGGTAATTGCAAGTAAAGCTGTCTGGTATTTGCAAGTAATTTGGCCGCAACGCTGTGGCAACACAGCATACACTGGCAGCCAGGGTGGTGAACGTCGAGTCGTCTCTCTCTCTCTCTCTCTCTCTCTCTCTCTCTCTCTCTCTCTCTCTCAACACACTCTTATCATTACCGCAATTCTATACTATATAGGAGTGTAGGAAAAGTATCGTGCATTTTTTAGAATGTTAAAAAAGTATCAAAACGCAATCAAAAGTCCTCGCAGAAGCCTTATGGGGAATGGCTGACAATACTTTTTAAACACATATATTATGGCAGAACCGTCTATGGGCCCAAATATTTTTAACTTTCCGATGAGCAGGGCGTTCCAAATTGGGCAGTCCGTACTCTATTACTGCATATCATTGGTTCGGTATACGATACATAATAGCTTTTTGATATTTATTTACGTTCTAGTCAGCTTAGCAACATTGCAGTTCTGCCAATGTGTACAGGGTGTTTTTTATACCGAAGCGGCCGCGTAGGCAGAAGCCTAAATACCGGGTCGCCGCGGCTGCTATAAGAATTTTATTGTTGTACTGCTTAAGGTTACGAGAACTGGGAAAAAGCTCCAGGGCAGATTGTTCTACAATCTCGACACCCTATAAACAAAAGAGCGATCGTTATGAATATACGAATTACGAGTTCTGATGGAAGGCAGAAGCCTTGCAGGTCTATCTGACAGGCTCAACGTGTGGCGGCATCATGGGGAAGAGGTCTGAGAACATAGCGGTAGCTGAGAGCCAGATCGCCGAAGGCACGTCGGTGCGAAAGGGTCCCGAGACTGCAGCATCCCAGACATGTGAGCATTACTCGAGGCTGGGTCTAATCTGGGCCTTGTACAAAGTAAGGAGGTTATGAGGAGAAAAGTACATCTTATCCCTAAACAAATAGCCTAACTTTTACAGTCCGACCAGCTGAAATCAACGGCTCTTTGGTAGAACTCGTCCATCGGATGAGCGCTAGTGCATTTCTTGTTAGTCAAGGTACAGTACTGTGTTTTGGAACTACTCCAGACTGTTCTTCAGCTCACTGGCAGAAATCGGCTTGGCACTCTGAATTCGTGCATGTAGTCATCAAAGCTGTGGATTGGATTCGTCGTACAGGAAACGAGATGTTTGATATGTAATAGAAACTATTTTGATCCCTATGGAACACCCGCGTCAACCTTGTAGGATGAAGATGTGAAACCGTCAACTACTACCAATATTTTTTCAGCTAGAGAGGAAGTCATTCACCCATATCTGCAAACATTCTCTAGAAGGCAGTAGGATGGAAGTGTGCATAAGACGGCAGAACTACGATATGAGCATCACCATACGACTGGATGAGTTTACTCCACAGATGCGTAGATTTGTAGGATATCTGGAAGAGATGTGAAAGAACTGGAGCAATCTACAGTGCCACAGCAGAAATCAAGCCCGGATCAGAAGCTTTGTTGTCTTAAGTTTACTTCCCGCATAGTGTAGAGGACCCTTTGAATCGACGGCACTCGGGCATTGGGTGGAGACGTCCATAGAGATGTATTCCCCCACCCCAACGTGGATGATTTCAAGAATTGCCGCAAAGGCAGCCAATTCATCCAAGTCAGCAAATCAAACATTTCTCCCAGAAAAGGTGGAGAAAATAGTATTTGAGCACGTCTCAGTCAGCAAATCTCGCGTTCTGGGCCACAGCTGGTTCTGAATGAAACCTGACGACTACAACAAGGAGATCTGATTTATCTAGGGGAGACAAGACGGCAGTGCTGGAAGAGACAAGATGCCTGACCACTGTCATGTAAAGAAGCGCATGAGGCAAAGTAGGGCTCGTCACCAGCTTGATCAGTCAACCTGCAGCATTGGCCTTGCTTGAGCCCATCCAAAGTTCTTTAGGGGTACTGAAATCACCAAGGAGGACTATCTCTGAAGCAGGGTGATTGATGCTCACGAGGTCGATCTTGACAGAGATGCATTCAAGTAGATCACCTCGCTTATTGTCAAACAAATTTGAATGATGGTTTGGAGTTGAGCCAAAGCCACAGATGCGGACAACAGCCTCAGCTCCCCCGTTCTTCCTCAAATTGGAGTGCTCCTCGTAGTTCGGGTCAATACGATAGTTAGTCGGGACAGAATCGTAGAATTTGGTCTCCACCAAGAAAAGCATGGCGGGACGGTTTGACTTCAGATAGCGGTGAACAGCATCAATGTTGCTCTTAATCCCACAAATGTTCGCGAAGCAGATCTTATCATCGATGTTGTTTCCTCGATATTACAAGAATGAAGTGAGCTTACGTCCGGAATTTAGTACTGGAATGATCCATCATCAGTTTTTGTTGAGAATTCATTCATCTTGCGAATATGAATATCAGAAAAAGGGAATATAAAAATGAGATTATGTACTTGTAAAACAAGGCATACCAGTTTATTTATGGCTAGAAAAACATGTTGTTGAAGACAAACTTTAATCTTCATATACAACTTTTTCTTTGGTGTAATAATCAAATATTTCTCATCAGAAAACTTAAACTTCGTTCGTTTTGTGAAGTTTAGTGAAGCGAGATAGTCCAAACCAACAATTCGAATAAGTTAGGAGGAGCCACGCCTATATGTTTACATTGCATTGTTTGTCGCCGAATTTGCGTAGTGCACAATTTTGACCCGTTTGTCTACCAATGCCTACCAAAGTGACATCCTTGTATCAAAATAATAATAATACTTAGAGGTGGAAACATTCACCTTCATTAGGCACGTGCCGCTCTTTGCAAAATATGTAAGAAATACCATGACTTGAAATCGTTTAACACCACAATTATCTGCAAATCTGTACCTCAGAGCCAGGCTAGGTTAAGTCTACATAAGTAGTCTTGAGATAAATGCATTTGAAATATTTTTCTTGCATTGTGTTGTATGCGTCTTGACATGAGTTAAAAAGTCGTAACTACCTTATTATTACAGATAGATGGATGCTGCATGTAGCAAATGAAAACTCACAATATTATCCGAAGCTTAACATATTAAACTCATTTTTGACAAAAATGGACATAACCTAGTCTGGCTCTGGGGTACAGAAATGCTCCCATTTTTTAAAAATAACACAAATTCAAATTTAATGACAGAACTGTAAAAAAATTGACTCAAGCCACGTGCACGTTGATCCTCAGTACAGACTGAGATAAACATATCCTTGACTGGATCCTTCTACCTAGTCTGAATTCGGTGGTCCAAACAGAGATGAGTCTGTCCAATCAGTTGTCTAGCTCACTTCAGAGGTCAAAATCAATAGCTGAGCTAACCTAAAAGATGAAATTTTTTTATTCATCATGGGTCTAACTAGTCTTTCTGTACAGAGTAGCGAAGAGACAGAACATCTACCAGCACCTCCACCGTCTGCCCCACCACGGACCACGACTCCAAGACCGACCACACGTGATCCAGGACCAACATGTCCAGGCTTCTGTCTGCTGAACATAATGGCTGCTTTCTGCGAACGACCTTCAGTCCTCATTCCTCACACATCCAACTGCAAACGAGGATCAGTTTGCTGCGACAACACCAGGTCTGACAATCATCTAACCTTATCTATAGTCAAAAAGTCAACTCTACCAAAATGGACGTTTAGTAGCGGCGTGCCTGTATACGTAAGAGCGGAACTCACCGCACTCAGAACGTCTGATTAACATTAGCGTATGCTGAGTAACGCTACTCTTTTCAATAGTTTGATATGTGCCTCAACGGAAGCAGATTTCTTACAATTGTTAACAACTCAACCCCTTTGTCAGCAAAAGTAAGCAAATCTCTGAAGATGCGTTTCTTTTTCGAGCATAGAAAAACAGAGTTGCCATATGTATTCAAATCAAAATCGGCTAAATTTTGTAGAAAATCCGAAAAAGTAAAATATAAATATTGCTTACGTGATCACCGTCTAGACCCTACATCCCCCATGTCATCAAAAATAAGCAAAGCGGAGACCCCCGCCCCCCCACTAGTGCTTACGTAATACTTGAATATTCAGTTCCGCACTGAAGAGACAAAAACATTTTCCAATCAAGAAGCATATTGTTGGCTACAATGTTTGTACTTTTATGTGTCATGCTCGTAATAAAGCACTTATTGCCAGCAGTAAAAGCTCGCCCTGTATACAGGGTGTTCCTTAATGATATGCGAATATATGACGGTTTGAATCTACATGAAAAATTAATGTTAGTTTGCTCTATAAGCTATGCTCCAAAAATATTTCGCTACAAAAACTCGGGGTGTTGAAGTTTTAGGAAAAAAATGGAAATTAATTAATATTTTCAGAACTGCTTCAGATATTTCACTGATATTTAGTACGTAGTGAAAGTTAATAAAACAGCATATTTTTCATTCATTTTTTAAGAAAAAAATGGTACGCTAATGCTTTTTTTCCAAATAGAAATTGTTGAATTACCCGTTCAATTTCAAACAAATGATCTCTCTTGAATTGTTTTGCTTCGATGCGCCGTTTTTGAGTAAAAAAATAAAAACCGTTCTATTGTCCGAGAAAATTAATGTAATAATTGAAGAATGCAATTTAGCAATAAATGTCTAGTTGCTCTGGAATATGTCACTGGCTTTTGACATCCGACAAGTCTCTGCTATTCAAATCTGTGCGCTGTGACATTTTTCTCATTATCTAGTTTTTGCAATCTTGTTAATAATGGTGAATTATTCAAATGCAGAAATGGCGGAAATGCATTAGGTGTATGGCTTTGCCGACGGTAATGGTGAGCAAGCCAGACGGATTTATCACCAGAGATATCCCGATCTTGCTTTGCCAGATAGTCGAACCTTTTCTAATATTCATCGTCGTCTTGTTGAAACTGGTTCTGTCCGAAAAGGAACATCTGAATGTAGACCTCTAAGTGTGAGAACACCTGAAATGGAGGAAGCAGGGCTACACGAAGTGGAAGAACATCCTGAAATGAGTGCGAGGAAGATCGCTAGACACCTAAATAATTGCCATCAAATTGTTTATAGAATTTTAGTGAATTTTTTGTTATAATCGCAATCCGCAATTTGAATCAATGATTCTGTGCACGGACGAAACTAATTTTTCTCGAAATGCCATTCAGAATTTCCACAATAATCATTTGTGGGCAGAAGAAAATTCCAATGCCGTAACCGAAACCCATTTCGAACACCAATTTTCGGTTAACGTATGGGCAGGAATTATTGGCAACCACTTTATTGGTCCATTCTTCTTGCCGGGACGACTTGACGGACAGACTTACCTAAATTTTCTTCAGCAACAATTGCCTTTGCTGCTTGATGATGTTCCGTTAGTAATAAGAAACAATATGTGGTACATGCTAGATGGTGCACCAGCGCATTTCAGTGTAGCGGTTCGTAATTATTTACAAACTGTGTATCCAAATCGTTGGATTGGCCGCAGTGGGCCCTAGGAATGGCCACCAAGGTCCCCAAACCTCAACAGTTTAGATTTCTCTTTGTGGGGCTATCTTAACACTGTAGAGGAATTAAGAGAAAGAATAGTTGCAGCTTGTGATAGAATAAAAAACACTCCAGGGATATTTGAACGAGTGCATAATTCCATGAGAAGGAGGGCGGAAGCATGCATACTAAGTAAAGGGGGCCATTTTCAACAATTTTTGTAATCATTTCGTTGGTTTTAATGTTAAATATTAATTAATTTCCATTTTTTTCCTAAAACAACAACACCCAGAGTTTTCGCATATCATTAAGGAACGCCCTGTTTAAAGTACCAATAAGGAGCTCCAAAATGAGATACAACATCTCCACCAACGATTTTAAGACATGTTTTAGTATGGCACGCAGCCAAATTTTCAGTCGTCACTTTTACGCTGAAATGCAGTATTCATGCATCAATTGATGAATTTCAACTAGACTCGTTCCCTTGAAAATGACAAAATTGATTATTTGAGTTTGACAGTCTGATAGCAGGCAACTAGCTATTTCAGTTTTTGTGAAATGACTAGGAAACTTGATGGCCGCTGATTTACGTTTAGATAAGCGTAAATACAACGTTAATAAATGAAGATGTAAAATCTAATAAAATCGAGTATAGTGATAGTGAAAAAATGCAATACATACCTCGCAGAATAATGACCCCCTCCGCAACCTAGGTATGTAATCTACTATTATTTAAGCTTATTGAGTATTTACAGCGCTTTTCGACAAGAATCTGTACAAAAAATAGCGTTTCCTAGTTCGAGTATAAAATACCGATACTGATCAAAGAGTGCATGTCTGAGAACGGAATGGCGAGTAAGGACGAGAAACGTATTCTTCTGGGATATTTACGGAGGGAGATTCTGGATGGGGAATTATAGCTACAATTATTATATTCAAAGCTTTCCTTAACAGCGTACTAATATTCTTGGATATGATTTCTCAGAAAGTTATGTAGACAAGTTTATATGAACATATGTCCGCAATGGCCTAATGACACAATTTTAGTACAAAAATTATTCTATTGCGCCACTAGTATGGTCTCTGCAAACATGTCTTGTGATATCTTCCACAAAATAATTGGTAGGCCACTGATTTCAATGTGAATATTTTTACTTTTTTTTAAACGCGAAAAATTTCTAAAATGAGCTATTGTTTTTTGGATGTTATATGTCATCTACATCACGAAAAGCTATGTCACTCATTTCCGTCGGTCTGTCTGTCTATCTGTCTGTCCGCCGGTGTGTCTGTCTGTCGGTCTGTCCGCTAACCCTTGGCCTGTCTATACCAAACGTATTTGGATGAAATTTTCAAAAAAGGTTACTACTATACCAAGGATGAAAAAGCTTTATAATTTTTGCAAATTGGTCCAGTGGCGACGGAGAAAAAGGCCAAATATGAAAAAAATTAAACTTTTCTTTTTGACGTATCAGAGGCTTTAGATCATTTTCGGAAAACATTTTGTGGGGTTTAAAAAATCTGGGTTTAGGGGTTGCAGGGGGTGGGGTATATCTCAATTTTTTGACATTGATATATTTATATGCATCCAGCCCCAGTAACTCTACGCACCTATTAGACATATGTCACTCATTACATATGTCCCTCGTACATTTACCTTTAAAACAGTATCTCCAACGGTCGTACATCGCAGTGGGCAGTCACTTCCGTACTCTTGTGGGCTGTTTGCTGTAAAACTCAATACCGTCATCCACGCGGGATTGGTCATAGCTACGATCATGTGCGCCCGCTGGAATTTCTCACCAGGGGGAGGAGGAGAGTAATAATTTTTGATTATACGTACAAAAAGTTTGCGAACTGACGTTGTGTGAGAAGTGAGTCAACTTACTTTACGCTATTTTTTCCAGTAAGCAGTTATCATTTTGTCGTTTCAATAAAAAACGATGCATCTGAGTAGTAAATAATCACAGAGTTTTATGTAGAAATGATCGAGCTAACTAGAAAGAGCGCTCTGAAAAATATTAGTGTCAAACGTTTTCTTTTTTTTTTTGAAAAATATTGAGATATTGTAGTAGTACTTTCAAGATATAGTAGTAGCTAAAAATGTAATTCATTGCCAACATATGTTTATATAAATTTTTCTTGATAAAATGTTGACTTTGCTCTCTTTTTTTTTCAGGTCAATCACCTCACCGCCTAAGCACAAGCCCAAACCATATTTGCCACAAACTACTTTGCCTACCACGACAATTGATCCAAGACCTGAGTGCCCTGGTTCATGTATTGTCTCATATCTCAGCTTCACGTGTTTCAGTAAGTTCTCAATTTGTAATAATTGCCATCGTTGCCGCCCTAGTGCTTCAATCTGAGAAAAACACTATATGAAAATATATACAGCGCTCGTTGGTAGCATGATTTCTACGAAGAAAAGTGACAGTGGAGTTCGCTATAGGTCATAAAGATCCTGGATGTGGTCAGGAAAAATCAAGGTCACACTGAAATATGAATATATGCACGCTTAAACTTTTCCATGTACCACCTGAAGCTTATCCTGCGATTTTGATGCTGATAAAATTCCATTATTTTGTGACCAAATAAAACCATATCGTCGCTCATGTTGTAACACCGCCTAACCCACAACATGGGTGTTACTGCATGTTTAACATGTACAGGACAGTCTAATATGTATAAAAGATACTGTATGAAGCACTTTTTAAATAGAAATTTGTTTTTCCAAAATTTTTTAGCAATATGTTGATGAGACATAAAAGACGAAACGAGTGACGTTAAAGAGTCGACCACAGGACATCGATTATTGATCATAGTACACAAGATATTTCACGCATATGCAAAAAATGTTCATAAGAGGTTTATAGTCATTTCATAGTTGACTGTGATTTTAAATATATTAATATGTGAATGATACACGCAAGAACTAAAAAGTTTCAGGATAAATTAAAAATGTATATATTCTTGAAAAAAGTTAATAAATTAACTGAGACAGTATCTTGTAGAAATTATAGTGAAAAAACAAATAATAGATGGACAAAGATATAATTATACATAATTAAGAAAAAAGGCAAATAAATAAACTACATAAACAATAAATAAACAAAAACCAAATCGAGGGATATCGGTCGCGGTGAAAATGTTCCAGCACAGAGTGAGGGGTACTTCAATTAACAAATCTACCTGTCTATTCTTCACCATCACTCTTTTTATTCTGTTATTTCATGTGAAGGTGTTGCTGGGAAATGGAATGGTAAACAATCCCAAGCTATGACAAAAAATAGTTATATTAAGGGAAGACACTTCGTGGAATACCTTTATAGTCTGTCGGTTGGTCCCATTGACCTTGAGAGTCATCTGCATTATAGTAAGAATCCGATCGTAATTTTGTTGTTACATCATCGCGTAATGATATGATACGATAAAAACTAGTTAAATCTTACATGTTTTGATGCTAAACAGCAAACTTGCATAGTTTACTGTTACGTGAGGTACATGTCATATAACATTCAAAAAACATATCACATTTACAAAATATTTCGCGATCACAATCGCCAGTAGGCGTGGGAAGTAAATGAAAAACAAATGAACTGAAACATAGAAGACTGATCAATATAAAGTATATTGACATCGTCATTATCCACGAATTTACTTTGAAAAGGGCACCCGTTGTGGCTAAAACGACGGTAAAAAGTAATTTATATCTACATATGCGCTTTCATTTCACCAGAAAAATATTGAGTTCCATTAAACTTTTCCGTCCCTCACATTTCTCGAAAACAAATTAAAACATTGAGATGAGTTTGCGAAATAAAAATTACTTGATTAAGCAGAAAGCCAATCTGTTTATAGTTGTTAAAAAATAGCTGGCTCGATTTTAAACGACATAAAAAAACTCTTTTCGAGCGGAACTGATATAGCTTTGACAAAACAAGACTTATTTTTGCAAAAACTAAGAAAAGATTAATATAACGTACTATGAGTTCTGATGATTGTGTTGTTGAGTCATAAACGATTCAATCTACAAGAACTTCGACAGCCTGTCAGTTACATTTCCTTTATATCAAAAGTATAATTATTAAATGTGCATTGCATGAATGACACGTTCCTTAAACTATTCGGTACAACAGTTCAAATTAAATGTTTTTCTGCCATCACAACTCCCGTTGATGTACTTGGTCGCAAATCCGGTGTTATTTCAGCACTACCACACGCTCTGAACACTTTATTAGCTATTACTGTCCCGTGTGCTACAGATTCATCAACATACCCTTCAGCGACCGTTGACGACTTCCAACTGATATGTTTCTTTAATATCATCAAGTCTGCCCCAGATTCAACTAAAAGTGTCGATCTTCGAAATGAATGACCTGTATATGAGTTAGCATTTTCAAGTTGAAGAAAATTAGCCACTGTTTCGGAAACCTTATAAAACTGGTTTTTACCCACAACCTGATTGATACATTTTCCATTGTGATATGCATAAAACAGGCGACGAGACTTTGCTGCTGCTGCTGGGCATTCGGTAAAATTTAATATATTTTTCAGTAACCACAAATCTCCTGTTTACATCGTTCTTTGTTTCTTCAAGTTTTTCAATTAATGAAGCTTCTGAATCTTCAATATCATCTAATGTTACCTGGCTGATTTCACAAATTCGACAAGCTCCTGCAATCCCGAATACAACAAAAACCTTGGCCATTAAATAAACTTCATCGGGAGCATTATTTAAAAAATCACTACTAAAAATCGCTGCTTTCTCGGGCTTCTAACATTTTGCATTTTGTTTCAGAAATGTAATTAGTTTAACATATTTTGAAATATCTACATTATTATTGGATCGTAGCATACTTTTAATCATTGAATAAATCGACCACCTTGTTGACATCTTTTTTTGTTGTATCGGAATCAGACATTTACTTCCAAACAACCACAAAGTTCCCAATGTTTGAATCAAATCACAAAATTAAATTGACAGCTATATGATTACTTTAAAAGTTTCCTCGGCAACGCAGGTCTAATTGTCGCTATAAGTACAGTACAGCCTACTAATTTCAAAATTCAAATTTCACATCGATAATTTTGTGTTAATATAATTTTTCAATATTTATCGTCGTTTTCCCCGACCCAGAAAAACGTTAAAATATAGTGCCCTGAATTTCAGCTTTCCAACTTGACCCATTTAAGAAAAACTTGAGGCCACATTTTTTAAACGTAGTGCGTATTATATGTTTTAATTTCCAGGGAATGCTGAGATGACTGAGATCTTCAAGTGCAAAAAAGCAGCGACGAAGTGCTGTGCCCCTAAGTCGATGATCAAAGAAGCTCTCGGGCAGAAAGAGGATTATCCATTGAAAGAAAGCACGATACCGCCTATTAGTATTCAGTATACGACACCGTCAACTGTTACATTAACACCCAGCCCAAGTAGGTACTTAGCAACATTTTTCGGATGCGTTGTATGCAAATCTTGGTACGTCCGCGAATATATGGCTATACTTGGCGTCATTTCATATTTATAACAATAGGTCAAGAACTGTTACTGGTCTAAATAACTTTGTTGCCTGCGGGCAATGACTAATAGTCGTAAGAAGAGTTTTTGTACCCTGGCAAAGTCTTATTTGGAAAATGGCGTCAAGTAGCACTGCCTACGCATCGCCGTCATCAGGTCGTAAAGGATTGAGAAAAGCACAGGGCCGTATGCTCCGCTGTTCGATTTTTGTCCGCCGCCGCGCATGACGTCACGCGAAGAGTGATTATCATTTGGGTTGATATGGATAACGTGCATATTTTGACCTACAGGCCAAACGGCTGCACGGATTTTCACATATGAGGTGTCGTGGGATTCGTCTGAGCGGTGCGAGTGACACTGGCTACATTAAAATTTTATACAAAACAAAATGGTGGATTTTAATAAAAGATTTCAACCCTGTAATTCCTATTTCACAGGCTATAGCTTAAACGGCTTCTAGCTCCACAATAGAGCGTGTCGTCTCTTCACTGTAAAAACAAGATAACTCCATTTTTCTACATTACCTATATTTTAGTATGTTCTTTGGAGCAGGATTAACATGTTCATGCCATAATACTGTACTATATTTATCCTTATTCCACAGAACGTCCTAAGTACATGTAAGTGTGAAAATGTACGCAATTCGAAAAGTAGAAAAATGGAGTTATCTTCTTTTTGCAGTAGGGTGGTGGTATAACAATATATGGAAATGACTTAGACTAAGCAACATTTTTTTTTCATTTCCTTTCACGATTTTTCTGGTCTTTCAAACTTTTATTCAGTTCTTTGATCCGGAAGAACATCGTTGACCTGAAAATCAGTTTTTTAGCTTTTTCAGGGCAGTCAATGTTGCTGCTCTTCAACAGAAGTTGACCTATAAAATTTTGCTTTTTTGTCACTATTCCGTCCCCATTGAATGTATTGAATACCTTGTTCAGCTTCTCAATTCGATTCATGAAAGTTGCGGAAGGTTTTGATAATCCACCCCCACTAAGATGGTCTATCCATGAATAAGTTTCATTTGAGGAACTTTTCAACCTCTCATTCTGCAATTTATTGCAAACAAAGCCGGCCAAATTTTCCAGCTTGTCATACTCGAGTTCATCTATTTCTTCCACTAAAACTTGCTCGGTATAGTCAGCTGATACATCAGGTGCATTCAGTTTATTCTCGTTAATGATGCGATTACTGGTTAGTGGAATGTCTTTGACTCTACGCTGCAATAGGTACTCTGAGTATGCGCCTTCGTTTCGCCCCAACATATATGACCTTATTCTATACTTAAACTCTACAGGACTTGTATGGTGATGAAGACCATCTTTTGCCCTAATTGTCTTATCTTTTTGTGAGATGTAGCCATTTTTTTGCTAAAGTTTGGGTCTTGAGGAAAACTGTGTCTTTGCAAAGATTCCGTTTAGATTGATTGTCGGAATTACATCCCACAACAGCACACCGCATTTTTATCAACCACACATATAAGGTATGTACAACTAATACAACAAGTTCCAAAACCACCAACAAATCGTACTATATAGTATTAACCACGATAAGGCGAGAATACACATGCTTATTACACGCACAGAAGCATGCCAGTTACTGGATTGTGCGTGCTACTTGCATGTGTGACTTTCTTTGCCAGCAAGAAAGCACGCTAGAAGATAGCACGCCAGTAGATCACAAGACGTTTGATTTTTGTGTGCCAGTAGCAGGATTTCGTCGAGGGAATGGAGGGGAGGAAACATGCGAGTCATGTTCAAAGGTGTGTGAACGACATCGTTACCAGAAACTCGCATGTGAAAAACGGATTCTTGAACTATAGAACTATTTGTTTAGTTCCGGGCAAAATGGCTCGTTGGGGAGACGAAAAGACTTTATTGTTTGTTATGCAGTATAGGGAGTATCCGTGTTTATGGAATACATGATCTCCATTGTATAAAAATAAAATCGCTAGAGACAATGCTTACAAGTCTTTATTGAAGCAAATGACTGATAACAATTTAACATTGAAATTTATGAAAAATAAGATAAAAAACTTAAGAACAACCTACCACCAAGAGTTAAACAAGATAAAGGAAAGTTTTCACAGACTGGCATATCCAAAACTAGCATGTGTATTTTGGGATGTCGTAGGACAAGTAGTTAGCATACAAGTTACTGGCCACTGGCATGCTATTTTACTCGCATGTGTATTCTCGCCTATACACGTGAACTGCAGTAACGTTACGACAATCCTGCCGCTGGTAACCACGAGCCGATAACACTCCGGCTGACGTCACGAAGCTCCGCCCACATGCGCAATATCCTATCTTCAGTGTATGTGTATCTTGGGTTAAACCCTCTGAGAAAAAAATGGTCACGTACTCCTACATGTACAACAGATACATTAAAGGGATCATACAATTAGTCCGTAAACGTTGTTTCTGTGCCTCGACACAGTAGAGACGGCAAAAGCTGTCAGAAAAACGAATAGAATACCTTCTACTACATTGAAAAAAAATTAAATTATTAAAAAATCTAATTAGGTATGTGCGAGCTAACAAGTTTAATTAGTTCAAACTCTAAGTTCTAAAACAGTATATGCTAGCAGTGAAAAAAACATATGCTGGAGGCCTGAGTATCAAGGGGTCATTTTCCCCCTTATATTTTGCTGATAAGCGCCCTTCCCAATGTAGATACCCCTTATAACGATTTTCTGATAAATCATTTTGCAATTTTGAGATAAGCTAATTCTGTGCACACTGCACACTATAAGCAAATTTCAAAAAGAAAGTGCACACCCTGTAAAAATGAGTAAAAATACAAGAAATTAGCACTTACCATTTTCCCGACATTTCTGTATCGCGGTATCTGTGAAGTTCTCCTTCATTCTTCCCGTAATCCAAAGGTGCAAATCACTACAAGCACTCACAAACACTTATACCACATTCCACTAGCACATTTTCCTAGGTACAAACGAGTTTTCCCTCTGAAAACACAGAAATTAGCGCTGCCGAAGAGCCCGTGTAACAAGTCCGCGGTATCTCTGAAGTTTTCCTTCATTCTTCCCGTAATCCAAAGGTGCAGACCACTACAAATACTGACAAACACTTAATCTACATGCCACGAACACAATTTTCCGGGTGCGGCCGAATTTTCCCTATGAAAACACTGAAAATAACGCTCCCGAAAAGCCCGTGTAAAAGACCCGCGAAGACTGGTCAAAACAATTGCAACATTGCATACCAGACGACAGACGTTTTTCTAGGATTTGAAGTTGGCCGGGGTCCGAACTCAGTTCTGAGAATTCTTCCAGACCTGTTTTTATTAGCAAGGAGAATTTCGTTTATTTTAATTATTGATGTCTGTCTGTAACTGCAGTTTTGTACATAAATATGATGGCAAAAATAATTATAGATAAATCATATTGTGATATTCTCCTTTGTAAAATATTCTGTTTCAATTTCTAAATAACAGATTAACTAAATATCTATTAAATAAGGGTAATTCTAAAACGTAATACTGGAATGCTGTCATAATCCAGTCATTATTGGTGACGGTATCGATCGAGATACTGAACCTGCGCTCAAATCAGATTTTTTTTAGTGGTAAATACAGCTCTTTCAGACATATTATATTGATTAATGAATTCTTTTTGATAGCATTAAAAATCGGATTAGAGTAAAATAATATCTTCTTAAATATCGACGATGGCTTACTGAATATCAGAAGTCTTGTGCTAACGAAATCTTGTAGGGCGAATGTGCCAGTAACCCAGTCACTACCAGTAGTCGGACAAATCTTATATTGTTGGTACAAACTTGTATCTATATACAGTTTAATGAAAGGCGTATCTTAAATTGTTTCGAAAACATAAGCTAAATTACCTAAACTAATTAAACAGTTTAATAAAACCGGTGCATGGTTTTCTAACTTCAAGCAACTTAGTTTGATAGCATATTTCTTTCAATTAAACATTTTCCAATAAATCCAATTTAATTAAACCGAATAATTTAGCTATTTAGAATAAAAAATCATTACGGGTAATGACAATTTTACAGAAAAGCTGTGCAATTGACTACGTTTCCTCAATGTAGAAATTCTACTATCTGGTTTTCAATGATTCGCTCCAATGGCGATTGGATACACAGAAGAACAGGCGGACGCATGGTTAAGTAGAGAGGTAGGCAGACCATGAACAGAAATAGAGAGACGCTCAATATTCTGGTTCTTCACTTGTCCAAATTATTGTTAGCACTATTTCCGTAATCCAGCTGAACAGCAGCTGAGTGGCTACTATTAGAGAATTGAATCGTACGCCGTTTGTAGCTAGAAAAAAGTTTGTTTTTCCAAATACAATGCAATTTTGCTTTCCATGAAAGTACCGGTACCTAAGAACTCTGATTTTAGCTACCGAGGCACCGAAGCCTCTAACCACAACTCCCAGGAGTCCAGCGGTATACAGCAAATACGTATGTGGAGTGAAGGGTACTTCAAGGTCAGCTAGAGTAGTTGGTGGAGAGGACGGAGAACAAGGTGAATGGTGCTGGCAAGTGGCACTCATCAACTCTTTGAACCAATACCTTTGCGGAGCTGCACTTATTGGTACTCAGTGGGTACTCACAGCAGCCCATTGTGTCACAAAGTAAGTTTAACTACTTTTAATTTTGGTTGTGACTAACTTTCATCTCTAGTATACTAAAAATAACATATTTCATACTAAGTATATACAGGAGGTTAGTAAGTTTTGGATTTTCTTTTACATATATACAGGGTGTAAAGTTAGTATTTGATCAACGGAATTCAGGCTCAAAACCTATCGAATGAACCCCTATATGTGTGGTCCGGAATTTTATTGTTCAGGAGATATTTGCAATTTTGTGAAATTTCGGGAAAAAACGGGATAATGAACTTTCAATCGCAGTTACAACTAAACCATTAGGTTTAGGGCTGTGATTTTTTTTCTGAGATGAGCTAAATGGTTAGTTTTAGCATTGGTTATGTCACTATTTGACAGAGCTTATTAGAAATCAACGCAAAAATCTTATATTCATTTTTTTTTGTGAAAAATCTCTTCCATCCATCAACTTTGGAGGGCGTTAAAAAAAATTAGGTTGTATTTGATTATTCATTTTATTTCAATCCATGTAGAACAAACCCTGAAAATTTCCCACCCTGGACCATTGCATGACTTGGTAACATGCCAAATCTTTAATGTCACATATCTCGGGCACTATTGAACAGATTTCGATGAAATTTTGCAAAATAACAAAGTTACCCAGCAGTAACGTAAGTGTAGTCGCACAATTAAAACATCCAGGACCGGGCTCGTTTTTTCCAATTTCTTCTATTTTATCGAAATTAACCCCTTTCAAGCTGAATACTGAAACGAAAAGGGTGTGCTGAGGCTTCGCGAGTGTACTCATATCGTTTCTATCCCGTACCGCGTAAGCTTGTGTATGAAAGACCGTCAAGGAGGCTACAGATTACAGAAAAGGGGTTGACTTGCTTGTTTGACTCCATCCTTTCTGTTGCAGCATCGTGAGATCGGGAGACGCTATCTATGTAAGAGTAGGAGACCATGATCTTACGAGGAAATACGGCAGTCCAGGAGCCCAAACTTTGAGAGTGGCAACCACGTATATCCATCACAACCATAACAGTCAAACGCTGGACAACGACATCGCCCTTTTGAAGTTGCATGGACAAGCCGAGTTGAAGGAAGGTGTTTGCCTCGTCTGTTTGCCAGCTAGAGGAGTCAGTCATGCTGCAGGGAAGAGATGTACTGTCACTGGATATGGATACATGGGAGAGGGTAAGAAATCTCCATAAAGAAAAAGTTATAAACAGAATCTATTAGGCAATATAAACCAATGTTCACAGTCTGCTATTCTACAGTATAACAAATTACGAAATATCTATTCTCTAGGCGCTGAAGAAAGAAACTAAACCCAAACAAATACACGCATATTGCTCGTGAGTGAGTGTTTAGGCGCAGGAGACATTACAGGACCGCATCAAGATATTATGGGTAGTCATCAAAAATTTCATACGAGATAATTATTATCTTTTACAGCAAATTTCAGTTAGAGACTCACAAATGAGTTAACTACACTTTTTAGTTATTAGTAAGTAAGCTGCGCGCACTCATTCAGAAGAGGAACTTGAATCTTCTGAATCGTTTAAATGAATTATTAGAGGTTCAATTTGGGTATCGATGACATTGTCCAAATCCCACATTTTGACCTCAACCTTCTCCCGAACGTGGCGGATACAGTTTTTCCATTCCTCTGCCGTAACTCTATTGACTGCGATGTGAAAGAGATTTTTAACATCAGAAAATTTATAAGTATTATTATTCGACGCCACGTATTGCTTTATGTTGGTCCAAATCAGCTCAATAGGGTTCAGCTCACAATGGTAGGGTGGCAGTCTCAAGACAGTTTTATTTTGTTTTTTGGCCATTTCGTCGATCATTTTAAAATCGTATTTGTATTTATGTCTATTGACTATACTTATCAATTCACCCTTGACCATTGTTTCATCAAAATCGATCTGTTTTGAGGCCAGCCATTGTTGTATGTTTGCTTTTTTAGTTGCCATTGTGGGAATTTTTTCTATTTTTCTAGAATGGTACGGGGCATTATCCAGTACAATAACAGCGTTATTCTCCAGCTTTAGTAACATTTTGGAGAACCAATTTTCAAAGGAATTGCCGTCCATCTCCTCATGATAGTCCCCTGTCTTTTTTTATTCAAAGGCCCACAGTGCTTCGGGAACAAAGCCGTCTTCACTACCTACGTGACAAATGATCAGCCGTTTGCCTTTTCCTGGAAATAAATTATTCCTTAGACTATGGATTGATTAAATTTGAAGGAATGAGGCAATTGAGTTCATTTAGCTGAATTTAAGAGTCACGGAATGCTGATCAAAAACTGAAAAACGTAGAAAATTGAAGTTTGCAACTTCTCAAAACTCATTCAAAGCAAATTGACTGCACCCAAAAATGATAATAAATTTCAAAATAACGCTTAAAAGACGGTCGAAGTTTTTTTCCTAATGACTACACTGCGAATGCACCATTTTTGGAGAATATCACACATTATCTGCTATCACAGCATATTATTTGCCCGAATTTATCAAAATTAAATTGCCGGATAGACGAAGGAGCTTACCTGCAGGATTTTTCAATCCAGCCGAAAGACCGTCTAGAAAAGCCTGCCTTGATGATGTTACTGATTTGTCGACCCAAACTTTCGCTTGAGTATGTCCAGCATTCATCACCCACGTTTCGTCCAAATAGTAAATTTTTCTTTTTTCATCGCGAAACTTCCGAATCTTCCTAAGGTATTCCCTTCTCCACACAACAATTTCTTCTTTCTCTATTAACATACTGTTTCTTCCCCGTTTCAAGAATCGAAAATTAAGTTCCTTCAAAAGTTTTCGGAATGTGGTTCTTTTAAATGATGGAAAATCCTCATCAGCATTAACTAATCTTAATATCTTATCTACTGTAGGTATCTCATTTCGGAAGAAAAAATTATGCACTTTCCTCCTGATGGCAGTTCTGTCAAAGTCATCTACTCCGTCCGTTATCCTTTTTCTTGCAGGATACGGTTTTGGCTCAGAAAGTGAGTGAGTGCTCCTATATTCCTTAATGATCCTATAAACACTGGACCGGCATACTCCAGAAATATGTGCTACCTTACATATAACTTCGTCCACGAACAAATCGGGTTTTTCTTGAATTTGGTTTTTGTATATATTTAATATTATTTGTTTTTCATTTGCACTTAAATGTAGCTTCTTAGCCCTTTTTTGGGTGGGGTTGCGCTGATGTCAACCACTTCGTCGGCTGTATCTGTGTCAGACATCGTATCTTAGGCAATATATAAACAAAACGTTCCACTCGCGAAAAACGAGTATACGCTACTGAATGCCTAATGCGTATGCAATGCAATCCTGTGCGTGAATTAACTGTTAGATGCCTGTCGTGTCATCTACAATCACGTTTACAAGTCCAAACCTGTGCAGATTCGTAGAGCGCCGACGACTGCTAGTGACCTTGAATTTGTCTGTAGATCGATGTTACTCCAGTCAATTTAGGTTCAAAGTGGATGTTTTCTAAACCAATTTGTTGTTCCTACATCAAAAATATATCGATGATGTTTTGTACTGGGAGCTCATGAAAGATCAAGGTAACTTATTTTAACAGTCATCCTTTTTCTAGTCTCAAGATGACACGAAAAAGGGTCTGTGGATTCACTAGAAATACACTGCCGAGGATGTTTAGACCTAAAGTGACTGGAGAATATCCGTGGATGCTTTCGAGGGATCTGTTCACGTGCTGATCACTGTTTACGTTTAATGTCTTTCTTCAGCGCCCAGAGTATAGAGTTGGTATCACACAGTAAGATCAAAATTTACTTAATGATGGCGTATTTTTGCAGCTAGAAAAGGCAATCAATAGTTCGTTTTAACAAAATCATTATCACGGAATATATTTGACAACTATTAACCGTCCAGACCAATTGAAAAAGCTATTATCGATGTCCCTGAAACATCGATATTTGCCATCGTGTTTGTCTGCATTATTATGCATTTGCTCACAATGTACCTAGTCATCATCAAAAGTGTACGAGATTTGTGTTAATCCCGTATCTTCGACAGAAGCTTATAATCTCGTGCATGTGCAAGATTTCTCGTACATCTGGCAACCCTGCCGACGTATGGATCTGGATGTACCAAGCTTCAGCGAACTACTTATAAGTAGCAGTCATCTACTCGCCAATGTGTCGGGCTTCAGATAGTTGCAGTCGGCGCTAAAACTGGGTAGGGAAAAACTGAAAAGTTTTTTCTTATTTTAGCTGGCCCTATACCGTTGAGGGTTCGAGAAGCAGAAATTCCTATAGTTAGCGATGCAGAATGTATAAGAAAAGTAAATGCCGTCACGGAGAAGATTTTCATTCTCCCTGCTAGCAGTTTTTGCGCAGGAGGAGAAGAAGGAAATGATGCATGTCAGGTATGTTGAAAATATATAGTTTACGCACAGACATGTACGCACGCACCACTTTTAATTTTTACTTTCTACGCCACTGGGCCAGGAAATATTAATCGCGAAAAATTGCGTAAATGAGACATGAAGTTTTTTCATGTTATATGACATGTACATCATGAAGAACTATGTCCATCATAGCTGTCTATTTGTCTGCCTGTCCTACTAATCCGAAAAAGCCCTGTAGTTTTTGAAAATCGGTCCAGTGGCGGCAGATAATAAAGCCAAAGACAAAAAAAATAAAATCGCTCAAACTTCGTTTTTTGACATTCCAGTGTGGAAGAGTATATGAAAATTTTTTGATCTTGGTATATTTATATTCTCCGATCCCCTAACTTTGATTTTGCGCTAGAAATGACAGGAAGTACTAGTCGGTTGATGATCATAATGGACCTGGTGTAATAAACTTTTTTTCCAGGGTGATGGTGGAGGACCTTTAGTGTGCCAAGATGATGGTTTCTACGAACTAGCAGGCCTAGTGTCATGGGGATTTGGTTGTGGTAGACAAGACGTACCTGGAGTGTACGTCAAAGTTTCTTCTTTCATTGGTTGGATTAACCAGATCATTAGCGTTAATAATTTATAATACTTGTTATCTATAGAGTGGAAACCAAAAAGTGCACGAAAACGTATTTACTGAATTTCACCATGCGATTTTACTTTGAGCTTTTCATTTACTATATGTATTACCGAAATTTTGGATACCAGCTCCTAACAAGCAGCAATCTGCTCTATTTTATTGCAAAAAACGGATGATCTAAATTTACTGTGAAACCGGTAGATCTGGCAGCACTGTGCCGGAATAACACGTCAATCTCTCTGAAGCATTTGACCACAAAACAATCCAAAAATTTACTTTAAAACTTGTCCCAAGGGGCTGTACTTCGGGCATACAAGTCCCTACTGGACATCAACTTTTCTTCAATAACTTTTGGACGATACTGTATAACTCAACGAGGTTTTGATAGCTTAGTGGCTAGTTTTGACCTCATATGTGAATTTTGAAAAGGTTAGTGTCTCATAGATGGCGCTCAGCATATACTTGATTACAGCGCCATGTATACCAAGATTAACCTTTTAAAAGTAGATTTCTAATTAGTTCGTCTGGGAGAAACATATACCTAACTGTGGCAAATTTTTATAAATGACGCAAAGATATCCCATTTCATCCTAGATATTTTTTTGAACGCCGAAACAGAGTACGTTTGGCTATGTTCAATATAGCTAGTTTTTATTCTTTATGTGATATTTTTGTAGGATGTTTTTTTGTGTTCCATATGCGTCTCAACAATTGACATGTTATTCTGAAACACTTTGTATAAAGTGAGATTTTTTAGATTCTCAGGGGATATCATGATGTTCCAGAATAATTGGATGTCTTGACATTTAGCATTCGTCATTAATCCTAGAAACTGTCCACTCAAAATGTTCCGGAATTGAATGCAAATATCTCAGAAAGCTTACATAGTCGAACTTGGGGCTTTTAACATGCATATCAAACAAATGCAAAACTTTCTTCACAATCGGCAGATTATTGATAAGAATAATATTTTTGTTTTTGCATCCATAACTTCCGTACCGTACCCGTATGTAAAATAATCGCTATGATAGAGATTGGATCGCCATAACTGTCACATAACTCTAGCAGTGTAGCCGAACCGAAAAAGACGACTATAAAAAAGCATATTTCTGTATAACGAGCATACACAACCACACAACACAGACTTTTTGAGAGAAAATCATTAACTAAAACTAGTACAATGAGCTGCTCTTCAAGCTCCTTTGCAACCATCCTGGAAACGCCTTTTCGTTCTTGTTCATAAGATGTGAATATTTTTCTGTTTCACCCCTGAACTTTAAACCTCATCACCCGAAATTATTTAATATTTAATTATTAGAAACAGGCGGTGATTTAGCAGTCTGTACGTCTTGTACGCACAAAAACCAATACAGGGAATGCGGAGTAAGGGATGTACCTACATAATAATTATAGGCAACTCAAATCTAGACTCCTCGAGTGCCCTACTGCCTATGTTTACGCATTTATATTATTGGTATGGGCCATAAAACTATATAGACTACAACAAAGAATTCATTTTCTTCAGTTTTATTTTTTTGTTTTGTTAGAAGTCTGGAAATACCTTAATTATTTTAAAAATCGTGGAAGTTGAAGGCGTTTTCGGTAAATAAGGTCTCATTTCGGTAGAAATACTGAAAAATCGGTAGGTTAGGCAACACTGCACTCGAGCTGTATAGTCGCTAGCCCACGTCACACGTAATCGCTGTGAACGCCACCTGTGCAGGAATGACACAACGGCCTACAGTATAGAACTTACAGACTAGACCATGGAAGCTATGAATAGCCTCCGCTAGCGCCATCTCTGAAGCAGCACATAGCTCAAATGTCTTGACGCTCAGGCATCACTCACAACTTCCACAAGTGAATGATAGCTAAAGTCTGTCTATCCAAGAAAGACATTAAACCAAAACAAAACCAGTGCGTGATCTTGATACATATTCCAAGAAACGGAAAGCATAACTATTATTGTGCGGAATTGGTCGAGCCCATTTACAGGACCGATGTCAAACCAGGGAGGTGGAGTTTGAGACGACGCCCGGTGCATGCAACCTCGGCGGCCACTGATCATGTGAAATATGCGTGAATGTGTTTGGATTTAGTTTCTTTCTTCGATAGATGGCGTATAGTTGCAGTGACAATTATGGCTATCAGATCGCTGGCATTTTACAGTTACGTAATAACACCCTGTCCTTCGTGAGCGAGTTGACGCGAAAATGAGTCTCTCGCGACGCAAAAAATGTCGTGGACTAGAAAACTCGGCACCGCGAGGCGACGCTTACGTAGAGCAGGCTTAAACGTAGGGTTGAAATTTCCACACCTGTTGCACCGGCAGTTTTACGCCGCCCATGTAGGTCACCTGGTTAGGGAGCCGATCCCTTAACATTAAAAATCACAGCACATGAAAGAGATCCAAGAATGACGCTTAATTGTCAAACTGCTGGAACTGAAATCACGTCAGGTAGAGGTAGTTCAAGACATAGGGATCCTTTCCAAGAAATATTTCACTGTTTCTACGGAGTGACAGCATTATGTCGGTTATACAGTGAGTTACCACGAATACTATGAGAGCAAACATGTGGTGTATGAATCACTGGTAACAGTGGCTCGATACTGCCCCTTCAGCACTTGGAATCGCTAATTACGCTCCCTGTGGTACTGGAGTTGTATAATATTAATGGTAACATACTGTATAATTTTATATATTGGAAAGTGATTTGATTCCTTTAATAGTAGATTGAAAACTCGCAGATGAAAATATCTCATCGAGTAAAATCGTGGGTGATGGACTTCTGTTTGTAAATACTGAAATCTAAATTATGAAAAAGTTATTAATTTAAAATTGTTACCAAATAAGCCTAATCTGTACTATTTGTTATTTTTACGAATAATAAGCTATATCTTCCCTTACCTGTTATTTCATTTATTCCAAAAATTAAGACAGATGCGGGAACCTTTTATAACAGGGCTGTCCAACATACGGCCCGCGAACTCCTTTCTTGCGGCCCGCTTCACGGGTCATGTATACATCACAAGTATAAATTACTCTCAAATACCGAATATACCATATTAAAACTCAGTAATAATGTTGTATAGAAAGATTTTATAATGCGGCCCTCCAAACTGCATTTTTTTTGAAGTGGCCCTTGGGCCACATTAAGTTGGACAGCCCTGTTTTATATCATTGGCGTATACTCGTATGAGGCAGTCCCGCAGGGCTGCACCCTCTCGGAATCATACAAAAAAAATTAAATTTTAAGGTGAACTAGTACTTCGTAATTATTTATTGGAGGGTAACGAGCATCTACAGGGTGGGGCAGAAAGACCTCCCCGATTTGGAAACCGTCTACCTACGCCAATGGCGGACATATCATTGGACGTGTCATTTTTAGTATAAATCATGGCTTGGTCAGGACCACACTGCGCTTTCGTCGTTGATGAGTTTATTCGAAATGGAGGTTCGCCGGTAATGGCGCATTCTCTTTGATCCCATGTAATTTTTTCTTAGGGGCTACCTGAAGGAAAAAGTGTACCAACATCGCCTCCAAATTCTAGACACTCAACGAGACGATAATCTAGGAGATTGCTGCCATTCCGCCTGACATGATCAGCAGAGTGATGGAAAATTATCGCGAGATTCTCACTCAGTGTATCAACAATGAAGGCGCACACTTGAATGATGTCATTTGCAAAATGTATTGACATAAAATGGCATTATATATGTGTCTAATATTCGCCGTAATCGCCATCTAGAAGATCGCCCGGTTAGAAATAAAGCCGCAGAAATAGCAGTTTTGGGACACGTAGCACATGACAACATCCCGTGAACTATTTGCCCACAAGCATCTTCTATCTGGTCAGTAAGTTGGTATTTTGTCGGTTTTTGACTTTATATAGGTTTTTTTACGTAATAACCCTGCCGGATGATTTTGAGTGATGGCTTGGTTCTGTTAACCTTGAGATCCCCAGTAGATTTCGGATTTATGACAAAGATTTGGGACTTAAGGTCGTAATGCATCCACAAAATGTTCTTTGATGTGGATTTTTGACCGACGCTTTTGGACTCGAAGATAAATACACGCGCCGAGAGCGGGCAGGCAGAGCCGACCGACATCAGACGATGAGTCACCAGCGCGAACTACGATAGTCCAGTCGACATAAATTTGTAATAAATTAGTTGCAAGCGTTTAATAAATTAGTGTGAGAGTGCGCCTTCAAAAAAATCTTGGTTAGTACAGTTTTTATCGGCTCTCCAAATAGGGGAAGTTTTTCTGCCTCACCCTGTAATAGTGAAAAGGTATGGCTCGTAATGAAAGTGGACTGGTAGCCTAGGTCGAAAAAATTACTCAAAAACGCTGTGTCGTTATGTGGTTCTCAAAAATTCATGACGATAATCTATGTCCGTTTTTCTGTGTTTGTAAAGCTTTAATAGCAAATGATAGCAAAGATTACCAACGTATCGAGAGATATGTGTATATAAATGTGTATAAGCGCATATACACCAATGCCTCAAGAGAACCGAGATATTGGGCTCCACAAACTAAATCAAACCTGAACCAAATCGAAGCCGGTCCTGTCCCATCCCTTGATCACGTCCACAGCGCCAGCTCCAGCGTAGTTGTACAACGTACGACTACGATGTAAATACTGATTTTACGACAGAGCCGTACTTGGAATTTCAATTCAACTGAACAGTGAGTACTTTTTCATTTTTTTTTACTTGTTCGCTCACGTTTCACCACACATTAGCTCTGTTATATCAAGCGTAGTTGTGTCTGCCAAGAAAAACCCCAACTAGGCGGACACCCTGTATAATACTAGCATATACGCGTAGACTAAGGAGGGGGGTAAGTTCGCACCCGACTTACCTTGAGCATCTACGCCCGTGTTTGTGATTACCAGCCCGACACCCTCATTGAAAAGCTAACTGCCTCATATCACGAGAGTGATATGCTATAGCAGTGTAAAACGACTTAGCTCCCTAAATAATAAGAAAACGATTGGGTACTTCTTAGAAATATTTATTTCTAGAGTACATTGGTAATTTACAGAGCAGAGCAATATATACAAACTGTAATTTATTGTAATTAAGTATAAAAAAACAATTTTCAATAATACAATTATTGTGATGGCCAATCACTTGTCGGAATATATATTTACTTATTTATATTTTATTCATACTATAGGTATAAGTTATACTGTATACATCTACAACAAATTAACAATGCTTAACAAATTAAATGCATTTACCCATTAGGCCTGTATATTCCTTTGACAACTAGACCATTTGTTCAACAAAAATATATATAAAAATAGAAACATATAAAAATAAAAATAAAAACATCTTCACTTCAATATACGTCAATGTACTTTCTTCAAATAAATCAGTTAATAAAAAAATATAGTCTAGAAGACAAGGGACTGAACTTCTTCCAAATGAAGAATGAAATAAACGTAAAACTTAGTTGCTATCAATTGAACCAATGTCTTATGGAATGTTCCATTACTTGTAGTGCAATAATTTAGTGTTACTTTGTCAAAACCGTCGATTTCTTTTTAGATGCAGTTTGGATTCAAAGATGGTCACAAAAAACCCACTTTCCGCAAATACTTTTATTTGAAACTAGTCTTCAGTGTTATGTAACTTTTTAGAAGAGAAGAACCAAAACCTGTTGTCAGAAAACTGACACATAAATGTTACGGGTTCATTCTGTATACCATGCATATTCAGTAGTGATTTCTAAGCAAACATTCAAGAATCTAATCCATCTCAAGATTGACTACAGACGTTATCAAAATCTAATATACGAGATAAATACACAAAATTAAAGGATATTTATTATTTATTTTCAAATATCAAATAGCATTGATTCAATCAAAAGCAACTGATGGGTGCGAAGGTTACTCCATTTCACATTAATATTCAATAAAAAATTAAGAAATTGACTACAGTATCCAGAAAATGCTTCGAAGTATAAGACCTCCAGAAAACCATTGAGAATTCTCAAGAAATAGAATTTCAATCAAGAATAGTACCCACCCCACAAAAAAAGACTTCAATTTTCACACAACACTGTTATCAAAATATATGCTAATTCAATCTCGATAATAAAAAAATAAAAATAGTCAGACCCGATGGGTTACAACATAAAGTTAAAATGCCTTGTTCTTTAAGAAAATGCCTGCAAGCATATTTGATGGAGCAAGTTTCTTGTGGAGTGGTTTTTCAACATAATTTACCCATGTTGAAACAGGACAATTTATATAAAAAAATATGCATTGCTTGAAAAGACAGCACACAAATACCAAGCTGAAAAACATGTGAAATGCTGGAAGAAACTGTTAAAATATCTAAAGATGGCAACATCTAAATTAATGGTTTATTACAATTTCACTATACAGTATGTAATCACGAATGCTATATCAGTTGTCGGACAAACTAGTGACGTCTTACTAAACCACGCAGTGGTGGGTGGGTAGCATAACACCACTGTTGCCATTTAAGCTCCCTGTATGCTTAAGTTGTATTGTATCCGTGTTAACAAACCGCATGTGAGATTTTAAAGTCTTTTCAAGCTATTCAGGTTGAGATCTGAATATACCGGTCATTTTATAAAATCACTCAAAACTCTCATCGCATAAAAAATTTGGCAAAAATCAATATGTACAGGCAAATTTTACTTGAAGCTCATCACAGAAAACGACAAACTAAATATTACATATTTAATACGGATCAGTGCATTATATATCTGAATATGCGACAGAAACATTGATATATAACAAGTAGTCCAATACTTAATAAGAATTGCGCGTTTGATTGGAGACGTTTCACATTATCGGATAAACAAAATGAACATTTTCTGACTAACTACAGTACCTTCAAGATAAGGGCTACGTCATTGGATAAAGCTTCATTTTCCAAATACTTTCTTAGAAATTAGATTTTTCTGAAAAGTGTAATGACCCTTCAGAGTTTTTGTTGAGATTTGATGAAATCCGAAAAGATTAAATCAAATAAGAGAAACGCGTCACTTAAACCTAAGCTCTCCAAAGGGAAAAATCTAACAGATTTAAATCCGTAGATCTAAATGGCCATGAAAATTTGTGTTTTTAATAAATGGTTCAAGTTAAATTTCCGGCAATACCCTAGCCCTCCCTGCTAAATTTCAGCAAAACATGCTGGAAGTTCATTCAATTTGCAAAAAAGGACCTCGAAAATTAAGCACTACCGAACTTACGATTATATGAGATATTCTGTTTATAATCACACCCAAGGAATCATTCGTTGAACTTTGACTGTGGTTTCCTGGAACTTTGGCATGTCAGCATAAAATTATCTGATTGGTCAAACCGTACGTCAATTTGTGAACTTTTTCTAGACCACGATTTTTTTATGACATTTAAAAAAACTAAATAACGCTTCTGAATAATTATATAACAACCCATACGAAACATGAGAAACGTCTCTTATGACATAGCATATACAATACTACACAGCAACGCTAAATTTTTGGACGAATTTCTTTGTCCTTGAGAAGCTGACGTGTATGACTGACGCTGTGTAGTCGTCCAAGAAATACACGTCGTTAATAGAATATTCTCCTCGGCAGCGATAGTAAGAGTAGCTATTTTGCATTGATGTGTAATATTGTATAAGCTGTGCTTATGAAACGCACAATCTTGGCCAATTATATTAGAATATCGATGGACTAAGGGGGGTATGTAGTAAGTTAGACCCAGGAATCCTTCCCTGCTGGCAAGCTTGTCAAAGATGGCTGCATTTGCCCATCCGACAAATGGTTCAGGCTAGCGTTACCCAAGCTTGGCTGCCGGTTCCTCTTCTTTTCCATGTTAACCTGGGCGTAAAGAGGTTCCGGCTGAAATTTCATCAAAATTAGTACTGTCGCTCAATATACCGACCACAAAGTGAGAAACACGCTATATATCACAATTCCCGAAACATGCTTTGTTTGACCATGAATGTGAAGCTACTGAACTGTGACCCTAAAATTTGATTCCGATGTTGCCATGCCGTGATATATATGATCCGCTATGATAATTTTAACGCTGTCATGATGATTTCGATACAGAAATTAGCTATCAATTATCATGGCGGATCATATGTTTTATGAAGGCGATATCAAAATTAATGTGACGGGTCGAAATACAGTTAGAATCAGGCCTCTGGTCTGTATATTTTGATACGCGTTATGTTTATATCCACTTCAAAAGCATTATGTGCAATTCACAATTATTAGAACCCCCGAAAATACGATTTATAGGTCGCTGTCGGGCAGGCAAAGATGATGAGGACTGATCGAAACTAACATTTAATTGACATACTATTCCTGCATTAGAGTGGCAAAGAAGCAAAACGCTAGCTAAAAGCATTTAAACCTAAGCATAACAATGCTGAAAGAGATTCAAAATACGACGACCAGAGGATGTTCGCATACTGCAAATTATTCTGAGACTGAAAATAGCTTTGATAGCGGAATTTAATGTTCTTCGCCTGGTATCGTTATCAAGGCTAAAGATATTCCTTAAAATAGCTTTTATAAAATCGCGATAAATAGATGTATTTGTGACATGGTATGTACGAGTCATTCCAAGAGTGCTCTTACATACGTTCTAGAAGACATACCATAACGTCGTTCGCCTGAAATATATTTATAAGCTGTTCCAAAAACATTTCTATCTAGCATGATTACTACTAAAGCATTACAACGTAACATAAAAGCGGGTTTGTTTGCCGTTTGTCACATATTACTGAGACGAAGAAAACAGAAAAACATGTATATTGAAGTGTGAATTGCAGCGTCTCACGTGCAATTTCAATGCTTTGCTACAAAATATTCAGTGGGGGAGTAGTATTCGCAAGTAGGTATTTCTAATCCTAATTGAAACAGATAAAAAACAAGGTTCTAAAAAAAATGAAAATTGTATATAGGTAAATTATAGTCCAAGATCCCGCCACACAAATTCCGTTCACACGGCCAGATCCCAGACACAGTCACCGACCAAACCTGGTCGGTGCGACATAGCATAAAAAGTACTACAGTGGATCAAATGTGTCGCTCCGATTCACGTAGAAAAATTGAAACGAGTATATTGATGGCTTATTAAGTTTAGGCGATTCATGTACTCGGCATCTGAACTCTTTACATCAGTGGTGTCAAGTATTGCAAATATCAAATATCGTTAATGAAAAATGGAGTTGTGAAAACCATTTGAGCCACAAGATCTTAAACCAGTATACATCTAAGCTACAGGAATACTGAAATATTAAATCATATAAGACGGTTTGTTTCAGTTAGGAGTAGAAATAGTATAACTTACTGGTTTTTTCACAGCATGTATCGAGATGTGATATGGTTTCTTGGAATGTATCTCACCTGCGGTCAGCTGGGGCTGATCAGGGCCTCTCGTTTCAGCCTTGCAGCAAACCAAAGGCCCTAGAGCAGCCGCCCGAATAGTACTTTTAGAGCCGATGAACCTCTACGGTACCTTGGTACAACCACAATTTCATACATAGTACGTCCTACATTGAACAGAGATTCAAAAAGTTCGATATACCATCCTCAATACAATATTGCAAATATTGAACTTCCAATTTTACATACAACAAGGTGCTGTATATAATTTTATGAATAGACAAAGAATCTGATCATGCAAAACACTGGGAGAATATAGGCGATTAAAAGCAATACTACTCAGATGCTTCTAAGGTTCAATCTACAGGATATCTCAAAATCACCACTATAAATGAATGAGAGATTTTTCTCTAACATTTGGAACGTTTGCTTTGGATTTCATGCTGAAAATCCTCCATGTTTGTCTGGTCGAATCAAACCACATATATGCTTAAAACTTTTCTTTATAGTACGACATTTCGGTCCGAACGGTGACCTTTTTCAAGTATAATTGACACTTTCGACAATATATTTTGTTTGCCTGTCTTCAAGGTGAAACTTCGTTTGTTATTTTCTTTCATTACATACATTCATATATACGAAGTTTGTCCTGAAAATACGTGTAAAAAGTTCGTGGCATCAAGGACTTGTGGAGGGGTGGCACGATGGTTCCGTCTCTCTATGCAATCCCCTCTATACTCAGTTCGAGGCGGAGCGCTTTGCGAGTAAGTAGGATTTACGGGTGCTTGTTGTGTCGTTTTTTAGTATCAGACAAGTCATCCTCGTCTATCGTCCCAAAAACGCCAAAAATCATCCGGCGGTCCATGTTACCGTTCAGACGATTGTAGTAGCACTGTATAGGAATATGTAAGTGAAAGAACAAGACAAACGAAGCATCACCACAAAGACAGATTAACAAAATATATTGTCGAAAGTGTCAATTGTACTTGAAAAAAGTCACCGGTGGGACCGAAACGTCGTACAATAAAGACGAATTTTAAACATATATGTAGTTTGATTCGAAACATGGGGGATTATAGATTATATCGCGAATACTTCTTCAATATTCAGTTTGTTCAAAACAGAATTTAACATTTCAAACTACATGGGAGTACCGAGTTTTAAAATCAATTTACTAACGCTCAGAATTTAGTGCCCCAATCTCTTACTTGAATAGTATAAAAATATAGCAAGACAAAGTGGTTTAGTTACCATAGAGCGAAAAATTTCCCAAGAATTATTGATAAACATTCAATTTTGTGTGAATCGGATGGGTCGATTCTCAATACGATTTTATATTTGTACTGGGACCAACGAGAGTCGGTTCAGAATTCATTCATTTGAATTCAGCCCCCCAAATCAACTAAATGGACCGAGTTTGTATGCTGCCAAGAAGAATGAAAATGGAAATTTTGCACGACAAAGCCTACTTTTTTCACGTTTTGTCGAATAAAATCCACAAACGTACAGTTGAAGATTCAGAAGTTTCTGCCATATCGGTGGCTTTTATGCCTGAATTATCGTCTCCTATGCATTCCGTGTTGTTCGGTATTTGTGTCAGGACAAAGCGGTTTTTGAGAGTTGATTTCTGTTTGGCAGTCAAGTTGCAATTGAAAAACCAGGCCTAAGTGTTCGCCATGCTACTAGCCTTGGCGTACTGTGCAAAGGTTGCATGGTGAAGACTTAGTGTTTCCCTGATCGGCGCTTATGATGGAAGCGTATGAATTTTCTGCTACCGACGTACTCACTACATCCAGAATTTTTTTTTTGTAGACCCTATCCGCGTATGCTTTCCTTGTTTCTCTCTTCAAGGAAAGACCTCTACAATTCTGATGACTGCTAACAAGCATAAAACAACGTTGTATGCGGTTGACCATGGTTACAGAGCTATTCAACCTAAGATTTCATTCCTAAGTCAGTTTAAATGTAGTATTTGTTGATTAATGTGTGGCGATACTGAGTATGAAATTGTGGGTTTGGATAAATGGTACTTAAGAGATCCAAGGGGCCTCGGGGCAAAAAGCCTTACCTGCCAAAACGCTACCAGCTACTGCTGCCAGGGCCTTCGCCTTTGCCTGCCCCCAAATAACACAAAACACACATCGGATCAATCATCAATTTATCTACATCCTCTAACCCTACTCGAGATACTTTAAGGTTACAATCGCTGCTGTGGAGTCACCCTTACATTCTTACAAACCTGCCTCAAATTATACTGCACAAAACATAAGAAAAAATAGTATAGTGAATTATGCTGAATTTGACGTATGTTGTACCTGTAACCAAAACTTTACAGTCTCCTCTTGGACTATTACTGGACCTTGGCTAGCGAGGCGGTGTTGCCGATATGCCATAAAATATTTATGAAAAGCTACATTTATACAAAGCATAATGAAGTTCAGTTCTTTTCACGGTTTTTGGTGGATACACAAAGTCATACGAAACAACTAAATATATCGTCTTTAGGCGAGGCTACCTACATAACTCGCGAGCATGTCAAATAGGCCGACGATTGGCCAAATATATTTCGTAGTTTGCAAATCGATGATAAATATCCCCACCATGAATAAATGTCCAAAGAAAAGTAAATTTGAACAAAAAATGCGTTCACTACAAATGATAGTCAATAAATTCAACAAAAACGATTATCTATCTGGCAACGCCGCATTTATTTCTGACTTAATGAGAACAACCTTTTTATGCGAGCGTTTCGATGTCGAAGCATGAGAGTTGAGAAAAAATATATCAGCTGCAATATTTCTTTTTAAGTTATTAAATGACGATATAGATTGTCCTGAAATTTTGTCACAAATACATTTTGATTGTTAGTTTCCTTGAAAACTCAACTTTCTTCAAGAAAATCAAAGATTTTTCGAAGAGGAAAAGTGATAAGAACAAAATTAATCACTTGTATTCTTCTATAAAAGAGGAATATTCGCACACAGAGCTGTACTTGTATTTGTTAACAAGTTTCGACTGAAGAAAAAATGCACAATCAAATGCACAAAAAATGCATTTTTTGACAAAAAAATGAAAACACTGTTTTTTAGTCATCTCTATACACATCATGAAATTATCAGATGAAAAGGATTTAGAATACTGCTGCAAACGGGTAGTTAAAAAAAATCTAAAAAGGGACGTACCACCTTAAGAGGTATTGGTGACTCCACGAGCGGTTACATAGTCGGCTAAGCATTAATAAAACCGAAATTTGCTATTATTATATACCATGATACTAGCCAAACAAAGAAAAAATTAAAATAGCACACCTGATAAAATCAACAGAAAAGTAATAAGACATGGCCATTTGGTTCGTACATACACAACAAAATATTTTCTGTTCAATTACCTTATTTAACATACGATCAGGCAGTAATTCGTTAGTAATATTAAATTGGTATGGTGGGCCAAGGAAAATTAGAATACAGCTAGTTATTGCACAAGTAGAAATAGACAAGACACGCCAAAAAATTTATAAAGGTACACATTCAGTACGTCATAGAAATGTAAATAGTCGATGAAAACTGGTGAGAATCTACGCATACCAGCGGGTAGAACCCTAATCGAAAAACATTCCAGTGTATCCACATTCCTAAATTTAATAACACGTTCTGGTTGCGTTTCTCCATAAAAGACTTTTCGATACATATTCTTAATAAAATAATTCCTACACCCCAGTTTAAAATACCACTATCTAAAAGGTCCTACTAAGCAGTAAAAATATTATTCGTCTCGTCAGTAGTGGAGTGATTATATTTATAAAACTACACCTCTATTATCTAGAATAAAATACAATAACACTAACTTTGCAACATATAGTTTAAAATACTTAGATAAAATCTAAGATGGCCCTATACAGACAATCAGTCTAGGGCATTCAAACACTAACAGTTATTCTTTCAGTCTTCACATAATCAATATTGATAACACATTTCCTATACTATTCGCTATAAAATGTGATCCTAAAACCAAGCAGGAATAGTTTGTGCATGTGGTAATCTGACCTTGGCCACTAATAACCTTAATCCCACAAACACGACCTTGGCTCCTAACGAATAAGGGGCAAATTTAAGAGTCTGTCTAGGATCCCCTGTATCTTCGCCCCTGGTGCACGTTAATTTTAAGTAAAGGCTTTTGAATGTGGAAAATCCACATACCAAATTCTAGATCATTCCAGTTGACGGTTTTGAAGATACTAAAAAAAATGTTTTTTATTTTTCAACCTCAATACCCCGTATTTTTTAATGAAGCCATCGAGGAAAAAATGTTATATAGAATGCGGTCCTGTGTATGATGTTTCATCGTTGGTCACGACTTGTGGATCACCATGCATATCATTTTCTTGAAAAAACAAATGGCAGAGTTGGGCGTCTGGTCGCGATATGATCATAATTATTGTAAAGTCAAGGTCATTAAAAGCCAGGTCGTGTGAGAGAATTCGCAAACTACTCCTACTATGCTATACATCGTGAGCAATATAATGTAATTTTGAACAATATATAACAAAATTACTGCCACGAAAATGTGCAAATTTCTGTGAAATCAACTGAATTCCAGCTACTCATACCTTAAAACTAAACTATCGAATTACGATAGCAAATTTTAGAGATACACTGGGATATTGACGACTTATTCGAATTCTACCCATTCGCATGGAAACGATTTCACCATGAAATAAGCTCCCTTAAAGCCTTTAGATAAAAATTCTAGATATAGTATACCACAGACCCTGTTAACGCCACATTCGATGAGACAATTAAACGCGGTGGATTTTTAATTTCTTGAAAAATTTGTCGACACATCAGTCGATAGTTTGAAATTTGCTCTTCTCAGATTATGGCTACAAAGATTATAAGAGTTTTCAACATACAATATACAAAAAAACCCAACGATTCACTATTTGGTTAACTATGTATAATATTTCTAAACAACTCCATATATTGAAAATATATAATTGTTACATTAATCTAATTTCAAGAAATTGAAAAATTAGTGAGTTGAAAATGATGCTTCGAGTGATAAACGAAGTTTTAATGAACAAACAGACAATGACGTTTGTACAGGCGGCTCGGAACATCGCTAGTAATATTCCCAAATGTTTTATATCTCTTCTTTCTCTTATGCAATTTAATCAGTGGTTTCGAAGGATCCTTTTTGTCAATAGAAACTGTATTCTGTAAACGATTTTCCGGATGAGCGCGAATAGGTTTAGTAAACAACAACTTGAGGGATAGGTTAAATGGGAGCCTGCGGGATTCGAACCCTCATCTACTCCATTCTGATTCAACCGATTAGTCTACAGCACCAGCTACCAACCAACAGTAACCTGTATAAGGATTTTCTACAGGTTACTGTCCTCGCACGGTGATACCGTGGAAGGTGCCCACGAGCCGTCGTGGTGCAACTAGAAAACCATTGGAGATATCGTACCAATGAGGTTTGTTTCACTTCAACGCCGCCTAATGGAGCATCAAGGCAGCTTGAAACAACAAAGAAAAAGTGGCGTCTGTAGGACTGACTTTGCCTCTAATAGTCGATCGTGAAAGTTGGTTGGTAGCTGGTGCTGTAGACCAATTGGTCCCTCAAGTTGTTGTCCACTGAACAAACTGCGTTCTTGTGATGGTGCAAATTTTTAGGAATGTTCATGTTGACTGTGGTGCGCAGCTTTGAATTTTTTACAGTCAAAATGTTGAAGCACTGATATCAGGTCATAGAGCATCTACTCATATATTAGACGAAAATAACCCTCGTTTGTGAGATAATTGTAAAATATGTTGTTCAAGGGGATATTCAAAACATGGACGCATAAAATGGGTACACCAATTTTTGTGGAAAAACTTATTATTCGACAACAAAGAATGAGGAAACTCTTCATATAAGATTTTTAGGTATTTATAAGACCTACAAAATGAGACCATACGCAAAAAGATCCGACTAATAGCAAAACAGTTATGGCCGAAAACCGAGACAAACTGCAGGTTTTGGCACTTGTTGGTAATGCGACGATGGTTTCTCGCAGATATTTTAAACTCTTCAAATTCGTACTTCTAAATAACCACAACAAAATTGGAGTAGATTGGTCAATGCGTTTTTGAGAATTTCTAATTGTTTATCCCAAAACACCTGTTTTCTGCTCATCACTATTAGTCTATTGAGCAATATACAGGGTTAGTTCAAACGGAATTTTATAGGAAAATTCACTAGTTTACCTTGCCGATGTGAATCGCAAACCATTCCGGAAGATAAATGTTATTTTTAAAAGGATGGGTTACGTTTTTTCTTAAAAGGCATATAGACATTTGTATCACCGATGTTTTAACGTTATACTTATAGAGATACAATGGCGAGATAAACAGCAAAATCTAAAAAAATGAGTGCTCTTTGTTACTGCTTTTGCCTTTTTTGTTCTTTAATCGCATACGTCACAAAAATGCATAGTCGTAAATTCAACATTCCTTCCAAAAAAGTTCAGCACAATAAGTTTCCCGCATTTAATCCCCCTGCTTTTATATACTCAAATGTGTTAGTTGTATCTCAGAAATGAGTTGTAGGGGAAATATGGATGAGTTTTATATAGAAAATGAGGCATTAGCTGTTGGTGACACTGATGACAAGGTTCCAAAATAGAAGATACCAAATTGGTCTGATACTTCTAGCAATGTCAGACGCAGCCTGTACATGATCGGGTCGCCAAGTATATGAATGACATATAAAAAGATATCGACTCACATAGAGCTATATCCAACCTTCGTAGGCCCACCAGCACCAGTATTGTGTGAATGGTAGATACGCATCATAATTGAGCAACGAGTCCAGACCATAGGCCGGACAATGTCCTTCACCGTCACCAAAATCACCAAATACACCAAAAGACACGCGTCAACACGCGACAAATTGACACGAACGTGTAGGTTTGTGCTAGAGGGCTTATTAATGACTTACTGCAGGCGGGTTGGGACCAAGGCCAGAAGGATACGACCGCCCCAACACGGGCTGGCTTTCGGGGTATGCCATATCGGCCATTGGAATCTCATCATTCTGAAACAAAAATCATTATACAGTACGAGTACCTTATGAAAAAAATATCTAATAGAATAGAGTAAGTTTTATTTTCATTTAACTACAATGTGGAATAACGCACACCTAAGAATGAAAGCATTTAAGCAGACAAAAGTTTGGAAACAAATATTAACATTATTATGAACTATTTCCTGTACCTAAATTAAAATTGAGAAGGAACAGATAATATGAATTTTAAAGACTACCTTTGTCTCCCGTACTAATACAAGGTTTATCTTATCAATATTCAAATTCTCTGAAAATAAAAACACGCGTTTTTTTTTAAATACCACAGTTCTGTAACGACAAAAGTATGGAAACATTTACAGTTTTGCCGTATTTATTCGTTCTGCAATACTCTGATATTACGTGCGGTAAATATTAACATCAGTGAGATGGCAAAAGTAGAAGAATTTTCAAAAGATTTAAGAGACAAAGTAATTGGATTATTTAGAAGTGGTGTCAGAAATGTTGGCATTTCTCAAAGGTTAAAAATGAACAACGGGACGATTTCGAAAATTATTAGTAAATATCGGAAGACCGAAAAAAACCGTTTATGTTTTGGATCACTAGACTAAACGTTTGACCCACGAAGATCTACGAATGCCAGCCACACAGATTTTCAAAAGAATGGTAGAAGAGGGTGCCGAGAATCTTTCTGTCAGAACAGACGCTTGGTAGATTTTGGGCTTTTTATTAGGCGTCCAGTGCAAAAGCGTCTCATTTAAAAAAAATCGTATTGCTCGGCTTGAATTTGCTAAAACTCATCTAACTTGGATAAAACAACAATGGAATACAGTTTTATGGAGCGATGAAAGCAAATTTAACTTGCTTGGATCCGACGGTACCGCATATGTGAGACGTCCAATACGAGAAAGATTCAATAAAAAGTATCAGTTGCCAAAAGTTAAGCACGCTGGAGGCAACATCATGATTTGGGGCTGTTTTTCCAGTGCTGGAACGGGTCCAATTGTTAAAATTATTAGGAAAATGAATCAAAAACTTTACAAAGATATTCATAGTGAACACATGCTCCCTTTTGCTGAAGAAGAAATGCCTTGACGATGGACATTCCAGCACGATAATGACCCAAAGCATACCTTCAAATTCGTAAGGGTCTGGTTAAGGCTAAAAAATGTTAATGTTCTTACATAGCCTTCGCAATCCCCGGACCTGAACCCTATAGAAGATCTTTGGAGTTTTTGTATTCAATTTTTTAATAAACAAATATGTTTCTATACTTTTGTCGTCTCATTTTTGGTCATAAAATAGTATTTTAATGCTAGTCTGTAGTACCACAGCAAACAAAAATTGTTATCTATATCCTCAAGACTGTAAGCAAACTAAATGAGAAAAAAATAGTCCGTAATAATAAAGAATCAAAAATTAGCGCACGTTTTAGAAATTACTAAAAATGTTTCCAAACATTTGTCCGCTACTGTAGTTACATGTCTCGCAAAGACTGTCACATTTTTGTACGCTTTTATATCAGCAGCGCGTTATGCAATTTTATAAGCATTTCGTTTTGTCCCTTTGTCGTGACGGCAAACCGATGCACTGCAACAACAGCATAGTGTTTCCTATGCTCTGGCCGCGCTATCGCGATGCCATGTCTGCCCGAGTCAGATATCCAGGAGAAGCGCCGTTTTCTGATGCACTACCGGTAGGACAGGGAAAGAATATTCATGGAATAATTGTATCAACATGTTTAACTGACTTTTCTCTCAAAGAGTTCAGTTTGTGCTGAACATTTTCCTCTATGTACTAAAAATGTCGTTGCGTGAGAGTGCACAGTCAATCTACTTGACGACAATTTTTCGAAATATGTAGTTCATTATAGGGGAATATCCAGTATGCATCATTTTATGTTTTTGACGTGATGCGGCCAACGTGTTCGTACTCATTTTCCTGATTACTTACAGAAAAAAAAATAAGTGGCCCAATAACACTCCTATACAGGGTGATTCACAAGTCGTGATCAAAAATGAAACATCATACACAGGACCGAATTTTAATGGGAGGTCTTCTATGTAACATTTTTTCCTCGAGGGCTTGATTAAAAATATACGCGTTGAAGTTTGGAAATAAAAAACAATTTTTTTAATATCTTCAAAACCCTCAACTGGAATGAACTAAAATTTGATATGTGGATTTACCTAAGTATTGTCCATATTCCAAAGTCTTTACTTAAAATTAACGTGCACCAGTGGCGGAGACAAGGGGATTAGTGGCATTATTTTTCCAAATAAAAACAGTACGCAATTTTTCGAATTTTACCATCAATTTGCTACAAATAATCACTCTCGAGTTTTTTCCTAGAGTGCACTGTATTCATAAAAATAAAAAAAAATCAGATTATTCATGAAGAGCCGAGATACAATTAGATTAAAAATAAAGTAGGAGGCCTTGATACCAACTTGACGTTTCTTGGAAGATCGTTTGTCAAAGTTATGTTCATTTAGTCATTAGTTCATTCCAGTTGACGGTTCTGAAGATATTGAAAAAAAATACTATTTATTTTTAAACTATCTTTTTAATGAAGCCCTCGAGGAAAAAATGTTACATAGAATGCGGTCCTGTGTATGATGTTTCATTTTTCGTCACGACTTGTGAATCACCTTGTATGTTATCGAAATATCGGTATCGATAAAAATCCTTTGTCGATCGATCTTCAGGCAAAACATATTATTTTCTTGCTGAAAAAAATTGAAGTCTTGCCACCATTGGGATTTGAACCTACGACCTCCGTAACACGAAAATTTGATCACTAAGTTGCGAAGGTTGTTAGTTCGAATCTCACCGGTGATAAGGGTACATAACTCGAGAAAATAACACTATTTCATACCCTAGGAAAGACTCCAACAGCCCTACTGCCGGGCGCGGCCCTCTTCATAGTCCTGTCCTCGTACCTCGTGCCACTCTGCGATGCCATTGGTCGGTTTAGAGTGCTATTCGCATTATTTGGAGAATTCGGACCAGCATTCCGCGCTGCCACTGTCTTCGTCACGAAATCTTGCTCCTTCCAACCGTGCTTTTTGTACACATCGCGCAGGTCTTGGTGCTGCCACATCGTGAATAGGACCTGAAACAATTATAATAATGACAGTTTCTTCTTTTTTAAATAGAAATAAAAGAAAATAAATAAAAAAAAGTCGCCAAGGTTGGGATTCGAACCTACGATTTTCCTAACAGGCAAAATTCGCTCGCCTTGAATGCGGAGGTCGTGAGTTCGAATCTCATGGGCGGCTAGTTTTTTTTTCTAGCTTAGATCACAGAGATGTTATATACGAGTATATATATATATATATATATATATATGTAGATTCTGATGGATCGGTCCTCCACTCATGGGCTTTTTAGAGTCGATAGGTCCTCCGCTCTGATAGGTCCTCCGTATAAGGAGGACCTATCGCAAATTCCACCTATCGGCCCCTCAGGCCCCCCTCTGTCACCTGGCAAAATTTCAGAGGGATGACCTAGATCATGTTTTTCGCCGAATTTGGGTACCGTAGTTCAGGGTTTTGCCGCGCCGATTTGGTGGACTCACGATCGCTTGGGTATTCAGCCCGTATATTATCAAATATTACCAGTCAGGTCTACAGTGGATCGGTCATCTGCCGGGTATTCAGTATCCAGATTATCGCTTTTAGATCCTCCTTAATATTGGCATCGCTGTATTAGGTATTTTATTATATTTGCTGTGTTAGAGGATCGGCTTTTCACCTTTCTATGTCTGGTGCGGCCCAGTTCGCCGTCAGGCATTATAATAGGGGCGTCCGTGACCGAGAGTACCGTAATGCAGCAATAATATATTTGTTCGATTACTATCATTATTAATATAATTATGATTACGATTATGGTTGTGATTATGATTATGATTACGATTATTATTACTAGTTTTCGGAAAAAAATGTTTTTCCAATCAGGTTTTAGACTCATAACAAGTCGATTTGACATAAGTCAAACCGTGCTTCGTTTATTTGCCAACTAGATTTTTACGCTTGATGTGTTAAAACATTTTTTTAGAAACCAGCCCCAAAAAAGGTTTTTTTTCTCGAAAACTATGAAAGATATCTCGTTTTAATGAGAGACAAAGGATGGAATAAATAAAAAAATCGGTCATGAGGAAAGTTGGGAAAAATTCTGCTACAATTTATGTAGGTGTGGGGGTAGTTTTCACCCTTCCAAAAAGCTCTGGAGTTTTTCGTAAAAGGCAAATATTAGAACGCTGAGCAGAGCATATGTGTTCCAAATTTCATTAAAATCGACCTACCGGCTTTTGAAATATCTTGGAAAACGTGTTTTTAAAAGAAAACTTTGATGCCCCCTAACGAAGCACCTTCGAATACAGATAACTTATGTGCAATCGACTTGTTCTCAGTCTGAAAATAACTAGTAATCTCACGTCCATGGAATATTGGGTCACGATGTGTACAATACATGATTATATGAACAAAGAGCAAAGTTTAGCGTAAAGCTACTCAAGCTAAATTAAAAAGGGTAATATAGATAGACCATTATGCAAATACAACCACATGAATAGAAAATCAAGGATGGTGTAGTATTAAGGAAAAATGTTCACAAAAAAACACTCTCAAATATGATAAAGGTGATGCTCAAATCCAATTTCCTATAGAATAAAATAAAAACAAATATGCTAATCCTAGTTTTACAATTTAAAAAATATGCTTTTACTTACCGCGCCTATTGGCAGGGAATTAATGTAATCACAAAAAATTCGCTTTAGCTGCAGTGGTTGCAGAGTGGTCAACAAACGAAGAGAAAATTGCATAAACTTCGCTTTCGGACAATGACCTACATTTTTCAACATTTTGTGCTTTGACAACCACGCGGTTATAGGAGCGAAGGATAAACGCAAATAATATCGGTATGAATTTTATTTACGAAAATACATAAGAAGAAAACTGAATTTATACATTGACAAAATGAAACTACTAAAAAATGCTTATACTTAGTTTGTGATACATATGTTCATACTTAATTTCTACTTTATTAAAAAAACGGGTTCGCTCATAAATTGAGATGGTATTCATTTTTTCTTTCGGTACTGGTTCTGGATGAAAACTTTGATTTTTAGCCAGTCCTTATTATGTAATAATTCAGTATGACTTGCGATGAGGTTATCGCATTCAGCCTTTTTTGGGGCCCTCTTAGATTTAATGTGATTTCCAAAGTGAACCAAGACTAAATTTTTCTGATCTTCAGTCCAAGGAACTAGAACCCTGGACTTTTTCTTTGGTAACGTTATATCCACTTGCTGAGATTCCGGATCTGGATGCGGTTCTTGGATATCTTCATATTGGCATAGAGGCTCTGGGTGGTTATCATCCTGCTGCGCTTCTGATATCAAATTCTCGTCTAGATTCAAATTAATTTCGTCCAGGGATTTTCCTTTGAAATGACCTGCCTCGCCCTTCTCCATCAACGTCAAAATCTTGGAGAGTCTAGCCGTTTGGTAGACGTCATCTGGTAATCGGTATGATGCACGGTGGATACCTAGTGTATGTCCCATAAAAGATGCGAGTTGTTCCATGTCATTTTCTGACATGTTGAACAATTGAGTCAAGGTTGCCAAGTGCTTTCTCAGACGGGTGCTAGTCAGAGCATGCGGATTTTTCGCTTGACATAACGACGCATACTTTTTGATTACCTTGTAACCAATAATGGGTTCTTGGGAGTTAGGTTTACCGAAAAGATATATGTTCGACACCGTCTGAATATTATCTCTACACTCTAGTATTAGATTCAAGTGATCCTGTACATCCTTGCTTATAAGAACTGGAACACCTCTGCCTCTTTTTCCACGGATTACTATTCGTTTGAAAGATCTCATTAGAATTCTCTCGGTTTCTGTTATTGCTTCTGAAAACTCCTCATAGGCTTGATTGTGTTCCTCAGATATAGCGGATTTGTAAACATGTATGGGAAGTCGTTGTAGTTCTCCAGGCCGCCTCCTATTTAATAAAAGCAACCTACAATAAACTGTCTCGAGTAAAGACGTGTATGCTTTTTCATTGCTTGGATTTTTTTGTAGCATTGATACCTGATTTGCAGCTACTTTCATGAGGTAATCCTTCAATAGTTTGAGATCAGTAGCTAACGGTACCAAAGTGACCTTATTCCATTTTTTTAGGTTGAGGTCATTAGCAGCATTGGTTGAAATATCGAATCGCCAATTTGCCTCTATGAGTTGGATGCATGTTTTTATATCTGCCTCAACGTTTGCATTATCTACTGTTGGCAGTGACTTAGATTTTTTTAGAACGTGTAAAAGAGCCACATCGCAACATTGTTTTAAGGTTGTACCCATGTTCATAGCATATGTGGGGGATTTATAAGTTTGGCTTTCGTCATCATATCCTGATGTTAATTTAGTTGCTTTCACAAGTATGTCATATTTGTGTGGTTTTAGAGCATCAAATAGGGTAACCACAGACAAATCTAATTTTTTTATCTCCATTAGAAGTCGAGCCAATTCTCTCATTTTCCTAGAAACGACTTGGACAAAATGTAGCTCCCTATGGAGTTTCAGATATCGGGAAGCAAACGCACATATTAATTTATCATTTTTCGCAACCAATGAAACTTTGTCAGGTCTCATGCGAGGAAATACTTTTACTTTGAGCTCAATATCTACCTTTATATTACCCAATAACAGAGTTTGTCCTAAAGCCTGTGATCGTTTGCCCGACGATCCCTTCTCCGGGTTTGCATCACATTGTTTGCGATGACGCCATAAGTTCTTTGCAGAATAGTAACCCATACAGTGGATGCATGGAAGATATTCCGTTTTTTCCGCACCTTTTCTAACAGGTTTTATCCCCTCTCCCCTCAAAGGCGTAGAGTTGATAAATTTACCCTTTTTCCTTAGAGCAAAAAGCAGTTGTTGCCTTTTACGGCTTAAAACAGGTAAAGCTAGAAATTCTTGTACCTCAATTTCATTCGTATGGTTTCTTTTCAAATGACGTGGAAAATGAAAAACCTCACATTCACAAAAACAACAGAAAACTGTAACTTTTTTCTTCTTTCCTGACAGTCCAGTATTCACTGATGAAGAACCAGACTGACTGGGTGCAGACTGATCACATTCTGCGGTGGGAATTGATTCAGCTTTTGCATGTATAGTAACATTCTTCTTGACACTTGCCGAATGTAAGTTGTCTCTGGCCTCATCGCTCCTGTCCAGTTCCTCGTCCTTTCAAAAGAAAAATAAATATAAATACAATAAATGCATAAGCATCGCGACAGGTGGACAGTACTTATACTTATCATTGGAGGCGTATCAAATGAAATGTTCAGTGAATAGTGTTAGTATTGACGTTCAATTTTGTATGTTGTTTCATTGATCAATTCATAAAATATCATGCCGTCTATGCTAAGGAATGACCATTGTTTTTCAACCACATTTCCCTCTTTCGTCTCTGGCCTTCTCTCACTTGCCAAGCAATAAGCGGAGAACCTTATCCTGAGCAAAGTTGTTCCAGTAAAAATAGATTTTATTATACCTATTTGGAAAAATGGCATCAAGCAGGCTGACTCTATACTTCCTACGCCTTCAAGATGGCTCTTAGTGCAATTTCCAATATAGTGCAATTGAATCTATTAATCTGCTGTCAAAAATAGTGGTTACAATTTGAATTCAAAGTTTTTACTTATAGATGATATCTAAGGTTTAGGTGATATTTAAGGGCATCAAAATCACTCCTTTATACTGAACTTCAAATTCAGATTGTAACCGTCATTTTTGAAAGCAAATTTATAGACTCGATTGCACTATATTGAAAATTGCACTAAAAGCTGTCTCTAAGGGGTAGGACGTATAGAGTCAACCTACTTGACACCATTTTTTCAAATAGGTATAATAAAATCTATTTTTACAGTAAAAACTTCGCTCAGAGATAAGCTTTGTCGCTTGTTGTTTGGCAAGTGAGAGAAGGCCAGAGACGAAAGAGTTTTTAATCCCTCCAAAAATGTTTTTGAAAATGATCGGGATTCTCTGAAACGTCAAATACGAAGTTTTTTGAACGTTTTTTTGAATATCTACATTTACCTGTTTTGATC